CATGAATATGTACAAAATCAAAAAATGAGAAACCATCGGTTTTGTAGTTGACGACATGATCCCTCCTAGAGGAAAAAATAAAATCAGTTAATGACTTGAGTCAAAACTCACATATATTATACAATTCAAGGATAGAATTGGGATAACGAAAAATAACAATTTTATTTCCACGAAAGAAAGTATCCTGTGGTTTCACCCTTGTTAAAATTGATGGGGTCTTCCGTACTTTTTGTGATCACCTTGACATCCCTTTACATTCAGTCCTTTTGGGTTGGGAATCCATTCAATTTTAGGGTTCATACAAAATTTCCAAGAACCACACAACTTGAGGTGTTGAACATTCTGGCAAACGATGGCTATGAATTGAAAATTGTCAGAATGGCATCTGAACCCAATATCGATACACATCTTGGAAGCAATATGCTTAAGAATTGCCATCAAACTTTGGTTTTTAACCACAGTTTTCGTTAAAGTGGTGCCTGTTATGAGAAATGGATATACACTCTGATCTTTACTGTACCTCAGCATAACTATTAAATGTGGTTGACGTAATAATAACCTTTGCTAACGTCCTGCTCTGTCAAAATGCGACCTTCTGAACTCCTGTGCTCGAACATGGTGATCACGGTCTGTAGAATTCTTAGATTGGCAGCCACAGCAGAGTGTTATCTGCGGTTGTGGTCTACTTGACGTTGAGACATCTTGTTATTAGTTGCACATGTTATTTTATTCACACCAGTGACAAACTTATGTGCCCGTTGCCCGTGCTATGAAGTATTTATGACCCGAATATATCTCGAGATACTTCTTGACGATTGGACGTCGACTAGGTTCCTTCGTGTCGGTTGAAAACATCAGCAATCGAAGTTTTACGAATACTGTTGAGCGTGAGCACTTTCTCTAAGCTCCCTATGTTTTTTATTTCCCTCACATGTTGCTTACGTGGTGGTGACAACATCATAATTATAGTAAGGTTAAGTGCGTATGATGTTTCTGCTGAATCGCTAGTGGACCTACGAAGATGAGACGGCAATATAAACTAAACTCTCTGGTGTAAATAGTATAAAAATGAAACAGAATTTGTACCGGTTTCTGATTATAAGAACGTACATTTCATGTAGTCTCTTCTATAAATGAAGATGCTACGCGACATATTCCCTATGTGATATTGCAAACCCGAATGAATGTGACCAAACCATTACGTTCATCGTTAAATATATATTTTAATCTGAATTCCACTCGGAGTTGTAGCATGAAATTGGAACGTGGTGTTGACAAGTGGAGGGGTCTATCTACCCGGTACGTGTATGATATAACAGCTTGGAAACATGGACTTTCGGAGAATTCTGAATCCGATGCAGCTCTTTCTCTGTCGACGACGGTATCGATCTCGTTTTGAAGCCTTTTCAGCAAAGAAGGATGTTGAGCGATCTCCGGAAGTGACCATTCTGTGTTCGAATCACCGGTCGGAAATCCCGCTATCATCAAATCCAGCCAAGCAAATGGAGAAAGTAAGCAACAAGTGAAAATCAAGATATGATGATAATACAAAATTCGCCCTTGCTTGCGCACTATTTAACATCGATATGCAGGTCCTGGTGCAACTAAATTGTTGATTTTCTCATCAAAGTGTATTATCTCTTTTGTAGTTATGTAGATTTTACCGACACATTTGCAGTTCCTTCAAAACTCGCTCGATGATGTCCCAGAAACGTCTATGGAGATTTTTGAACTTTTTGACAAGTCCTTGGAGATCGAGACGCTCTAAGCTCGGGAACAAATCCACCACATTGAAAGAAAGAGGTTTGAAACATTGAAACAAGACCTCGGCGACAATCTCACCTCAAGCTGAGATACGATAGATAAAGTGCTATCTATGAACGTAGTTGCCAGAAGTGGCTCGATGCCACACGAAAGGACTTCAGCTTTGAGTATCTGCCCTTAGAGTAACTCAGAGTAGCTCGATGCGTCGTCGAATTACGTCACTCAACCCGTTTTCTGTCCTACCTTATACATTATTATCACTTATGAATGTGAATCGTCCCAATTTTCCTTTGAATTTTTCTAAGAAAGCCATTCTAAATTGCAAGGTAGCGATACTATATAATAGTTTCCGAACATGAAGAACCCCATAATATAATCCCGAGAGAGTTAAGTGTGAACTTACATTTGACGAGCATTTGTCCTTCTTGCTTCTTTTAAGAAGTGGAGTTCTGGGCACGGGGTACTTGATTATAAGACCATGGATTCTACAATTACTATCTTGGCTCTACAGACGTGTTGAAGATGAGATAATTGACTACAGAGCAATCAAATGTCGGCATAGGTGGGAATGCAATATATGTAATATATAAGATGGAATAAATATCAGAAGTTTTAGCAGAGCATCTCCTACCCTTTGGACTTTGTCCTTCACGCTAACCTGGGGTTTATAAAGAGTTTACTGCATAGAGCTTCGAAAACAAACTAAAGTTTGGCCAGCTTGTCAATTTGAAATTTAAGATTCAAGTCATTATGTAATCTGTTCGATACTCGAGAGCAGTTTTCCTCGTAGACCATTACATCCGGTCTAATCTGCTGTCCGATGGTCATTGGACAGCAGTATATATATATTGGAATTTTTTTGGTCAAAATGTTGAGTTAAATTATTAGTAAAATCATCAAATTTGTTATATTTTTCCGTGTTACAAAATTTATCAATTGAATCTAAAGTTTAACTTCTATTATCATAATTTTGAATACATAATTATCAACAGCTCCTGATCTTCACTTCAAAAAATGGATATACAGGGTATTCAAAATTATTTAAGTGTGGATAGCAATATACTGGTTATTGATTGCTTTCACTTTTTCTCGGACAATCAAAATCTTACCAAACGACTAATTTTCAGGTTAAAGAATTAAGATCGACACCCTCTAAAGCGAGTTAGAATCGCTAAATTTCCACTTTATATTCAAGGTTGTCTGACATTTGTTCATTACATATTCCATTTTGTACATGAAAGGCGGATCCCAGAACAATAGTAAACAAAGTTCAGTACTCATTTACTGAAGCCGTCTTTGCAGGCCAAATATCGGTAGTGGTCTCCTCTGATTTTTCACATACAATTAAGTTATGAAATATCATAATTTGATGCTTTTACATGAAATCCTTCAATTTATTTATATAGTAAATCTAACGTTCTTTTAAAAAGAGAGAAGATTAATCTAAATGAATTAATAGTCATATTAGATTTTTTCATCAAAACAGTAGAAATGTTTTGATATTATTAGGAAATTTTTACAGACCTATTCAAGAATTTTCAGTAAATAATTCTTAGTAAAATTTGTTTAGTAACTCTTAAAATTCCATTTTTAAGAGAAATATTACTAAGAAATTATATCATACGACTTTTTCATTATTTTAAAATTTTCACCTATTTTAACAACTGAATTTTATTTTAGTTTGAAATCAAACAACACCACATAAGCCAAATTTCAATATAAAAATAAATTTTTGTGAATATAACTTACATTATATCTGACTTTAGTGTTTTACTTAAAGATGCTTATATAATGATAAAATTTTTGAAGACAAAAGTATACGTTCATAAGATTCTGGAAAGCGAATTGATCTTGTTTTAGTGTTCATATCATTACATATTCTTCTAAATATTATCCTAAATTAATTCCATATAGTATTCCATACTAAATTTTTTCTCCCAATTTCTGAAGTTGGTGTTATCAAATTAAAAAATTATTTTAATTATTTTAAAATTTCAGCTCATACCCACATCAACTTGTATATACACTCAATTGTCAATTGATTATCATGGTTACATGTTTATTTCTAGAAAATATCTTGGAAATATGATATCATGAGTATTATTGATAGTTTAATGACACAAAAACATTGGATAAAAATATGTACTTTTCATTTTTTTCCCAAACACAGATATGAATGCTTCTAACTTAATAAGTTTGAGTTCTTCTATGGATAGATATGGTGTTTCAACTGATTTGTATGATACGAAGTAACTGAATATTTGAAGGCACGGTTGGCTTGTCTGAATATACTTATTCGGGTTTCAATACTTATTCTGGTCAAGTGTTGAAACCTGAAAACCTTTTGTTTAAGTATTAGGCCTAAAGTAACTTTGTACTTTACTAAAGTCATTCTTTCTTCTCATAGAATCTTCTAATAGGGTACTGTGCTCCAGAAGAAATTACACTTACTTTGGATTAAGAGTAAGTAAAGCATACAGGGTGGCAAATCTGCTGTATTTCTCTTATTACTCCTAGAAGATGGAGGAAGCGATTAGAACCCTGAAATAGCTTCCAAATTAAGTAACTCCAACTTCATTCAAGATGCCAATCATATAGCACGATTGCTAGGTTAAGGAATCCTGTCAGTGGGCTCGGGAGGTTATTGAAAGAGGTATACAATCAAATATTGAATATGTATCCAGTCACAAAGGTAGTAGTATTATCTTGGAGCACCCGTGTCCCTTAACACGAAGACAGGAGCGTGCGATAGCTGCATCAGAGATACACTCACGAATCCCATCCCAGAACTTCGATCTCAGCTGTACGTAAGTTCACAAGCGAGGCGATCTGATGATCGGCTGGTCGTCCTAGTCGTCATCCAAAAGGCCAGCTAATCGAATACCCAGTCAAGAAGTTCAGGGCTGCATCACAATGTGAAATATGTCCCAAGACTATTAATCTTGTATTTCTCAGCTCGGAAAGTCGAAAATCGTCGATAGCGAAAGATACAAGAGACACTGGATTGACAATCCGATGCAAGCAGTGCGAGAGGAATTCATGCGCTCCTCCATCCGTCGGATCCAGTGAAATCGAACGCTGGAGAAAAAGAGCTGAGTTGAGGACTATCTGCGACTGGAAAGTGGCCATAAGTAGAAAAATAATGAATACAGCAACGGCACGGAATCCGAAAATGGAGATGGGTGTGCCCAGACCGTTGATAAGGACCGTACCTGGGGATTCGAATGGGAGGAGGTCGCTGACGAGAGCCCGCGTGCAAGCTCGGAAGGGAAGTCTTCGTTCTGCCCAATTCCGCGACGGGCCTCGTAGAGGACATGAGCATGGGAGGGGGTCGATCCAAGGCGCCAATTCGGACATAGACGAAAGTGCAATTGATCCGCAAAGGTCGCGCATGCAGTACAGAATCCGTTCCAAGTACTCGGGAATGCCTCGACGAATCAACTCGGAGGATTCGGAGTCTGGACCTCGTGCTCCTCCTCCTCATTCTATGGCTTCGGCTGCGTCTTCGGCTGCGGTTGACACTCGGTCGAGTTTCCTGGGCGTGGGCCAGGAGTTCGTCGGTATTTATTACGATGGCATCCCCGCCGATGAGTGGAGTGTCAAGGTCTACATTCGAGGAAGTGATGTAGAGAGGGGGTCCTTGTGTGGTGAGCTGCACGAAGCAGTGGTGGATGGGGCGCCGGGCGTGGTGAGGATTTGGGAGGGTGAAATCATCGACAATCAGAATTATACCTTCTTCCAGAGCAAGTGGGATGTAAACTGGAACTTGCATAAAGTACAGTGGAACCACCTTCCTGAATTTCAAGCCTTGGAGGAGGAGGTGGAATCGAGCGGAGGCTTGCTTCCGGACACCGCAAGCGGTGAATATACATATATGAGATGGAGGGATTACTTCGACAGTGTACTTATCCCACCCACGGGCGAATCCAGGTTACATTTCGTGTGTTTTCGAAGATGCGACGGTAAAATGCACTCTCGGTATCAAGAACGCTTTCCCTCGGCAATCGTCCATAATTTGGTTCTGCGACCCACAATTCATGGTCATAGCGGGTACAGTTTTCCTACTTATCAGCTTCAGTAGACCGAGTCCACGATTTTGAAGAATAAGGTTTGGAAGCAGGGTTCTGTATGTGGTTTGACCTCCCAAACTGATGATCATATGAGCTCGCAAAGGAAAAATGGAAACTACGGCATGTGGTCATAGACGGTTAGAGGAGATCCATAGGATTTTACTTACTTTGGCTCATCATCTCAACCATCTTCTTTGCATGATATTATTTGTGATATCGCTGTCAGCTGTCAGCTGGCAGCTGTCAGCAATGTCCCACAGCTCGCCCTAGCTGAAGTTAATGATTAGACTTAATGATGATATCAAGTGGGCACTCCAGATATTCTCTCATGCATATACATAATTCAATTATTAAATATTAATTATTAAATTTCCGTTAATAAACAGATATAGAAAGTAAGAGTTTTGATTGGACAGTTTGTAATACAAGTGGCAATGTCTCAGTTGTTGGATTCATGTCGGGATGCCTGAATATAGCTATAGAACAATAAGAGTTTAATCTCGATTATGTCTCCACTGGTCATATGCTTGTTAGTACAGTACACGTACTTGATAGAGAAGTAGACCTGCAGAAATGATTCGTGGAATGCCTTGAGCTCCCTCAGAGGAGTAGATGGTCGAGACCCTTGACACAAACAGCTCCTCCACAAAAATATTTACTGAATACGTCCTTTCCCTGAGCGGAGAGTCGAGGCGGCCTTAAGTTGTTCCCTTAAGTTGTTCCCTCGTATGGAATGAACTACAGTGAAGCATCATCTCTGTCCAGGTGTTTGTTTCGTGAATACTCGCATCAAACTTAGTGCTATACTTCTCAATGACCTCCTGCGACTACTCTCCTCGTGTAATGCCTTTCCTTCTGGACACTGAGCAGAACTGATCCACATTTGTTAGTGTTACATTGTCAAGTGCGTTCTAGGCAACGTTGGATCTTATTCTAGCGAGTTTGAAGAGCTTTGCTACTCGCAATGCACAACGCCCTCTTAGAGAGAATATGTCTAAATAAATCCAATGCAATGAACCCCTTCGAGTTGGCACTTAAACGCTGAGTTTCTCTACTAGTTATAAAGTCATGACATTCAATGGTGATGACTTCCAATGCTGCAAAAGCAATAATTGTACAAGTTCGGATGAGCTCGGACGAATGTACTGAACGGCTTCCTGAGTGCATCATCAAATAGTCTAGATGTTAATTTCGCACATAACCGACAGACAAACGGAAAGATGTTTCACTGGACTGGATTTTGGAGTTGAAGTCCAAGCTCCGTGCGCTAGGATTCGGACAAATAATCAGAATCGAGGGACGTGTTATCTTCGAATGAACGCAATCAGCCAGTGTCGGCATCTGTATACGATCCAATGAAAACAAGTATTCTTCCCAGAGATGTGTGTTCTAGAGTCCGAAACGTCGGAGACGATGCTTCCACATGTGCGTCAAAATATCTCAAAGACCACTCTTCCTGAAGCAGATTGCAACAGCGCGCTTCCTGAATCGGCGACCGACCTTTCAGGGACTTGAGCTCAAGTTTCATTCAAGCCAATTCAAATGGAGAGGACATGCACCTTCCACATGTGCACGCTCATTTGTTACTCTTGTCGACCACGTGAACCCTCGCAGGGGTTACACGACTCATCTCCCCTTTGGCAGATCGTATACTGTCGAGGACGTAACTGCAGCATTTTACATTAAGCTAGCGTCTCGTTTATTTCCAGAACACGTATATTATATTAAAATGTTGGGGTGGTAGTATAACCTGTCCTCCTAATGAGCCTTTGTGATGGCATGGTGACTGTTATGAGGCCGAATTCTGCATGCTTGTTCGAATGAGTTATTGATCCAACTTTCACACAAAGAGAGAGAGAGAGAAAGAGAGAGAGAGAGAGAGAGAGAGAGAGTCTAATCTTAGCTTTGATATGGAACATCATTTGATTCAAGTCCCATGCTTTTCAGGACCAGGTAATTCAACAACCCCTCAACCTTTCGAGCATCATTCTTCATGCTTTGTGGAACACAACCTCAGTAGCATCGTTTGATTTACGAATTCTTGGCAGCCTCTGGCGTGCGGTATGTTGAATAAGATTTTGATGGAGTTTCAGTTCTTGTACGTGGGGTCTTCCATCATCCTCAAACCTCATCATCACGGGATCTCTACTGATTTCACACATCAGGATACAGGATTTAGCATGCTTTCTAGTTTGGAAGGCGTTTGTGAATTACTGAGAAACTTCACTAACACTCAATTATCGTCAATGCTTATTTGCATCATGAAAAGAGGTTTTACTCATTTACTGATTCTCAGTAAATGAGTTTGCATGTTTACCTTCCCATTATTTTGACCTTGGAACCCCTTGTTGTTAACGGAGATTCCATTTCATGAGCTCCGACAAAGAGTGTTCACAATGAGCCAGCTACATGAGACATGAAAAGCTTGCCGAGCTTGTCCACTCTCATACCAGCAGCCAGTTCCGTACAGAAGAGTGCTAGTACTGGAACGCATACAACAGCTAGGAGGGGACGTGCCTTCATGAGTAACATGAAGACGTAAGATCTTCCCCGATCTCTGCTATTTCTGGTTTTCCATGAAATCTGGAAACGTATGAGGAAAACTACCAGTTTTGCAGTTTAGCTGACAATCCAGTGTCAAATAATCAAGTCTGCGTGTTGAAATGAACATTCAATAAAGTTGTAAACACGTTTCATGCTTTGCATATATTCTCTAATCCTCCAAGTCATCTCATTTCCAAGTTTATTTGTGAGGTTTAATTTAATCGGGTCCTCTATAATGGGATGTAGTCAATTACGCATTGACTCCCAACAGAGTTCGTGATTACTGCTGGAAATGCACTTGACTCTCCAGAATGCTACGGGCATGGTCTTTCTTCTTGTCGTAGATAGGTAAATAGGTCAATGGATGTGGAAACGGAGTATTTGGGTTCACCTCTCACAGCAGTGAAGAAAGTAGTGAAGGTGGGTGTTATGGGCTACCTGGAGAAAGTATGGGCTTATGTAAATGCACTATAATCGAGTGGACGCACAAATGGAGATCATGTGCAGGATAGCAGCCTGGTTTACTGAAGCCCCACGAACCTCTCTACCCATTCGCAATGCCACCTCTTGCTGTTATTCTGAAGCAAGAGACCGCTTTAACTGAGATCAACTGTGGGTTGGCCAGGTTACTATTTTCAACTGGGAGCTACTAAGTTCTTGCTCAAAAGACGGCAACGTGGGAGTCATGGACCTCATCAGTATCAATAGATGACACGTCATATATCCTGCATTTATCACACCAGCAATAAGTTTCTGGGCCAGAGATACTTTTGATGTTCCACATTTCTCTACTTGGACTAGACAAACTAGGCAGTCAAAGAACGGCAGCCATGCATTTCTCGTCTATTGCACCAAACTTTTTATTGACCCAAACTGTCCTTCAGAAGAACAAAAGAAACTTACATCTGTTCTCGTTTTGTGAACATGGTTGCAATCTGAATCTTCTGTGATACAATTCCCAGCAAGTTTTATATGGATAGTTTATCCATATAAAAAAACAAAAATATCCACTATTTGTAGCTTATGACCATCTAAGGGTACCCTTAAATGGTCACAAATCTTGAGCCAAAGCTATGCTGCGGTCTGTGCAGGAAAGGGAGAGAAATATGAACCTGAGCACAAGTTGTATTGAACTGATTGAGCGGATAACATAGCCAGCCTAGATTAAAGATCACAAGACGTTCAACCACAGATAAGCTATCGATTGTGCAGTATGTCTCCATTCACATCATGATAGCAAGCAACAATAACAGAGCTAAACATCTCTATCTGAGAATCACAAATGCCCGACTTCTTGATGCTCTATAAATATGGCGGTCCCGAAGATTTTAGAACATTTTAGTCATCAATCAAGTCCATACGTATGACGCTACAAGAAGCTTCAATTCTGAAACCTTTGTTGTTGCTAACTCGCAGAAGAATGTAGATGAGGTGTGGAACAAGAGAATAGGCTCTGCAGCACTCAACAGCTGAACAGGCCAGGAAGGGGAATCGTCAATTTTGGAATATGGAATGAATCCCAGGAATAAGAGGATTCGACAGGGGCGATGGAAACCCTCTGCTCTCCGACAAACTCTACGTTCTCGCCCCCAGAGATATTTTGGTGTTTGTGGCATGGGTCCCAGCTTCTATTTAAAAAAGATACGGAACTAGCTCTAGCGCCTCGATGCTTCAATGAGAACGCACTCGAGAAGTTGCCGGAGCGCATACATTCAGGGATGGATGAATAATGGTAAGGCCATCAGTGCAATTGCTGTTACTCCCCCATTGAGCATGGCGGAATTCTGGAAGGAATCGGCAGAGGTCAGCCACAAGCAGCCGGCACTCGGGCGCTTGTGCATTTCGGGTGCTGTTTTCGTATTCGTAGCTGGCATTGATTGATTGGTTGGGACTCAAGTGCGGGTTCTATTCTTCAGATCATGCCCGGATTTCTGTCGACCAGATTACCGAGGGTTGAGTCACAAGTTTGGCTCAGATGACTCTGTTGAGTAGATCGACAGTTAAGTTGGGGAAATTCTGTGCAGATCCTCTGCAGCCTCCGCGCGGATTCCGAGAATTCACTGTTTCAGAGCTGAAAAGGAGAGGAGCACCGGACGATCGGTACTTCTTCGCGGGCAGTAGAGTGTGGCCGAAGTTGAGCAGGTCAGGGAGTAAATGTTCGAGAACCTCGAGTAGAGTTCTGCCTCGACCTCATCAATCATTGTCACGGAATTGTAGAATGGAGACATTTAGTGCTCAGGACCGATTCGCTGGGTGCCTCGTAGGCGGAGCGTGTGGAGACGCTTTAGGTTGTGTGGTGGAGGAATTGCAACGCGCGCAAATTGTCGCAAAATATGGCGAACTCGGTGAGACCTTACCCTCTTGATTGATCCCCATGCTCTGCCCCTCCGCATCTTCATCTGGCCTTTTCCAGTGGACAGCCCAGGAGCAGAATTTCAGATTTCGCCGTGACTTCATCATGATTTAGGGCATCTCGCTCATGGCACGCTCCTGAACTCTGCTCTGTTCTTCGTTCAAATCTTCGTGTGCAGGAGTCAGAGAGTTTGAAAAGATTTATGATTATCCGGGAGAATTCACAGACGACACGCAAATGACATTGTTCACGGCGGAAGGATTATTATCCACCATCTTATGCAAGCTGAAGGACGATGAAAGTCTCGCAAACTTCCGAGCAGAGGATGCTGTGCCGGCCCTCCATCAGTCTTACCTCAGGTGAACCTCTTCTCCTCTCTCCAGATTTCACATGACAATCAATAGCCAATCCCAAAGATCAGGCGAGCAGAGAATGTGCAGAGCTAAGAAATCAGAAGGAAGGCAGACGCTAAATGCAGTTTAGAGGTCACACGAAACTCATATGGATCTACTACACATCAGTGTGGCTATTGAGATGTGGACTTCTAACACTAGAGCCTCGAGTGTTGCTCTGACTTGTAGCCGATCGAGTAAATCTCGAGTCGAATGCTGACAACCGACCTTAGTTAAACCCTCCGTTCTTACTGCTGCCTGTTGGTTTCTTTAATGATTGGAGATGTGTGGATGTTATGATTGCAAATCGATCTCACTTGGCCTCTTTTGCAAATTGTCGTGCCGGGTGATTTTTCCGAACAGATGGTTGGCGTCACAGAATGAAGAATCGCAGAGTCCTCTGTTCAAGGAAGTGAGAAATCTCGGAATGCTCATGACCCAAGACAAGCTGCAGCGCAGAAGAGGTCCGGGACAAACATGTCGGATGTCAATAAAGAGCGGGGCTGTAGGCTCCAGCAAGAATAAGATCAACGACAGCAAAGGTAGGCCACGCCACGCCACTCGGATGCATCGTGAGCCTTCTCTTCAGCTCAATTCAAGACAGCGATCGCAACCATCAATCAACCTTCGCATTCCTTCATACGTCCAGTGATTTCAGAGAATTCCAATCGTACCTGACCAACATGGATGCAGGATGCGGCGGCATCATGCGAGTCGCCCCATGTGGCCTCATAGTGCACAGCGCTTTTGCCTCTCTGACATCGGAAGAGAAGGCAGAGCTTGCCTTCAAGCTGGGCAATGTTGCCGCTGCCATTACGCACACTCATCCCTCGGGTTGGCTTCCCTCTGGATGCCAAGCAGCCATCATCTCGTGGATCTTATCAGGTACTTGAAGAAGCATATCTGACATTCAAGTTAATCCAGAATTCAGTAACTATCCAGATTTCTCAATCGGAGAAAGTAACGTGCTTTCCATGGTTGGAAGACCTTCGTTCTGAAGACGGTATGGACGCTTGTAAACAGGTGAATCATTGGAAGAAGCCATCGCCAGGACGGTGCCGTTGCTTGAAAAGGAGCCACATAACGAGGAAACAATGACCAAGATACTTTTAGCCCGAGAACTCAGTCGGGAGTTTCTGGAGACTTTCTCGAAGGGAGATGGAGAGGACTCAGCACTGGAGAAACAAATGCTCGTTCTCAGACACATAGAGGCATTGGGACATGGCTTTGTGGGAGAAGAGGCCTTAGGAATAACTCTTTACTGCGCTCTTGTATGTGGAGAAGACGTCGAGACGGGCATCTGCTACTCGGTAAACCACAGTGGCGATTCTGATAGCACTGGAGCCATGGTGGGTAATATTCTCGGAGCTCTATTCGGAGAAGCTGCCATCCCGTCAAAATGGAAAGACAATGTTCTACTTGGAGACTTGATTCGGGAGATGAGTAGTGATCTGTTCAGAGTAAGAGATCCTGATAGTCGACAAGAGTTAACCGCCAAATATCCTCCTCCTATCGTGACTCACAAAGGTGAGGATTACTACAGCAATGAGGCTAATCTTGTGACTCCTCCATTTAGAATGCCCCCAGGTTCCATTTTCTTCGATTGGGCCAATTCTGTGTAGAGAACAGATGTTGGTCTTCTGTGTATTGTGTAAATTACAAGCCATATCCTCGAGGACAAAACTTAAACCTTCTACAAAATTCTTATATATTTGTCAACTTTATAAAATCAACACCGAGATTCCTTGCCAAGTTTCCTTATTCCTGCATCTATTCCTGTCCAAATTTATAAGGCAAGAAAAAGCACGTCAGCCGACCATACGAGACGGCTGTACTCGACATATATACTCGACACCTTCATGTCTAACCCACGAGTTTGAAATCAGGATAAAAGACCTCTGAAGTTGTACCACTCAAAGGAATGCACGCCGAGCGTGATGTACCAACTGAGGTCCAAGCCTCCGTAACTTTCACAGAGTGCAGACAAAGTCGTTAAAAGTACGCCAAAGTTCGCATGTCGAGCACGAGAGTTTGCAGGTCTCAACCTGCAATCTCCCCGACAGCCAACTCGCAACGACGGATATGAACTGAGGCCAGGATTATGAACTGGTGTACTTGTTGTGCTTCGTATCAGCAGTTTCGGACCAAACCGAGCCACACATGACCTGGACTTTGCATAGTTGGGTTCTCAGAACATTCCTGCCCCGAGTTGAGATTCCTGATTTATGGGCAGACGTAAATTTGATGATCGGAACTCGAAGAAGTACGAGGAGAAGCATGCTACCTTCGACGGAGGCGACACATCACAAAAGTGACACAGGACGAATCTAAAAAGCCACAGAGATCGACAGCCGACAAGACAGAGCTGCACCAGAGTTGCACTAGATGACGACGGAGGTACATCTGCTGAAATGTTTATCGTATTTTAGTGAGACTGTAGATATGCTCAACACTACCAGCTCGAATTCTCCCATGCTTAGAATCATCCGAGCCGTCCTTGAACTCATCTCGTTGGAAATGCCACCCACTCCTTCACGTGATCGGTGGATGGCAAAAAGGACATATTCTTCTTCAACTACTCAACGACCTCCAACTACATGTACCCGCGATTTCTAAAACCTTTCTCCGTGGTGGACACTTTTGGCCTGTTTGCGTCCACTTCGTCCGTCCAAGAGAGTTGTTGATCAAAATTCGAAGATTCACAACGAAAGCTCAATCATCATGTTCCGAGGACGTCCGTGGCTGCTTATGGCTTGTACTTCTGGACCTTTTCTTTGGGCACGGAGGGCATTCAAATTTAGCGCGCGTGCATCCGAGCACATGTACTTCTTTGCCCTCGATGAGATTCCAGTTTGATTTCTTCGGTGGATTGAGACAGGCCCCGCCATGATGTAAATCCGACTAGGTCGACACCTTCAGAAGAACATGGAGCCTACATTCGTTTCTTCATAGTCTCAAGGCGATTACAATGGTTTCTGTCTGCATGTGTGACATGTGGTTACTGGTGCCGGAGTAGTTTTTGTGAAAATTAATCCTGAAAAGGTGCAGAGCGCCTGTCATACTTGCATAAAGCTTCATAGATTTGTCGTTGTAAGATTCCCAGTTGTCAAGATCGATAATGCTCACTGAACGAGAAAGATTTCATTACAATCTGTTTAAGATGAATCTTCAGCACTTCCGTTTTGTGCAAATGGTCCCCGACTTCGTTCACTCCCGAAAATTTGATTCATTTCTTCTGATGAAGAAGTGAAGGGCTTCACACTGAAACATTCGAAAGGCATCGAGCCCCACGGTCGTATGAAGAGTCAATTCAAATTCGTTGTTCAAGGCTCGAGGAAAATCCAGCTTAGAGACTGCCACTTGAAGCAACCTTGCGTTACGTCGAAGGGAAAACTTAACTTTTGAGGATGCTCACAGTTGACGAGTGTGAGCGATTGTCCTCTAGTCGGTGCAGTGTCTAATCGGGGATTGTCCCATTGACGGTCGAACAAGTGAGCGATCCGTGAAGGGAGGTGAAAAGTCCAGGAAAGCAGACATCGGTTTCAGCAAAGTGTGAGAGCTTCAGTCCAAGTCAACACTTCAAAGCCATTATAATTGCGTGCTCGACCAGAATGAAGAATGCAAATTGTCGAGGTGAGTGAAAAACAGAAGGTACTGTGAGGTGTTAACACAACTTGACACATTATACTTGCGTGATCGACGAGAATGAAGAATGCAAATTGTCAAGGTGAATGGAAACAGGCACTACTGTGAGGTGTTGACACACAGATTCCGCACAAGACATACTGCAACTGCGACTCTTGCTCCGGTAGAGCGCTCCAAGTATGCCACACCTCTGGGTCTACTCTTGCAGAAAGGAATCTGATTGTCGGGTTTAGGGTTTAAGCCCAGAGAGATCTATCGGGCGCGATCTGCTCCATGGATGAGCTCCAGGTCGAGCAATTTGAAGATGCTGTACGGTGCAGAATTTTCCGAACTTTGGGCTCTGGCGCTGGGGAAGGAGCCAAAGAGTTTCATCTTTCGAATTGCGGACAAACCGAGAAAGCAAACTCTAGCTAGAGAAGGGGGGGGGGACGGGAATGCTAGATCCTCGTCGTTTGGGTTGGGTGCCCGGTCACCCGATTACACTTTCGTCCGATCTTTTAATCATTAGAGTTTACGTGGTTCGTGTGAGTCTATGCAATCGAGCAATATCCGCATCAAGCGGTCACGATCGCTGCTGCGACCAGCCCTCGTGAAACCACCTCTACGACATCCCTCCCAATCTACTCACGACGTCCGACAAATCCATGTTCGCGAACCTCTCTCGAAGCTCCGATGGGCAAAAGGACGAGCCTCGTTCTTGCAGAAGAAGGTAATGGGCTCGAGTGGGAGATCCCTCTGATGTCCTCGCCTTAGGAATCATTGGATCGATCGGGCGTATTTACCTTTTCTGCGTACTAGGAGTACAGAAGCTGAAAATTACGTGGACCTTTATCGTCAAATGTGTCTTGTAGATGAAGGTCATGGAGCCCAGCATGGCACATGCTGGGCCCATATGCAACGGCGGAATCGCGTACCATCGACAGGCAGACAAGATGAGTATGAACAACTGAAACAATAAAAAAACTCGAGACTAAGACCGTCCTGAGAGTTCTTGGCTACGGGAATGAATGCTACCCCTTGATTCAGGGTTGCATTCTCTTCGATACGGTCGAACAAAAAGTAGCAGAATAGAATTATGTTGACAATATATTTGATGAAGTGATCGATCGAAAGGTGAAAGAGATGACTGCCCATGGACCACACTTGACGTATCTACTAACCGATTAACGGTGACGGGGAATTGAGGAACCTCCAGCCGCCCACATGAGAATAAGTAGTAAACATGCGTAAAATATCTTCGAGTAAATTCGAGATTTTTATTTTATACAATGAAGATAATGGATTCAGGGATTATGTTGCTAAATATTGGGAGTTAAATTGAGATTCTTACAACGTTGCAAGTACAAGTACAATTCTCGAGTACTCGACACAATGTTCAAATAAATGATCTAAACTTGACAAAACATCGGTTGAGAAGTGGTAGCTTGACATGAAACCTTTAATCATAGAAAAATACCATCGCATGATACAATATCATGCGATAAATCTGGCTGCTGAGATATTTTCGAGTGTTACAAATAAACCCTAGACGTAGAGCCCAACTCCCTCAATAAACTAAAAATTAAACACAGGTAAACCTTCTCTTAATGGCGGTTGTTCAATGAAGAAACTGATCGACAGTGAAGAATTTCACAGGGTCGACATAGTCCTATCGACTTCATCCTTATGTCGTGTTGTGACTTTTCTAAAAAGAAAGTGGTTCGCTCGTCATCATTCGGATTTGTTGATTTTCAGCAGATAGGATTGTGTAGAGCTCAATGTGTCGCAAGCACTGCCCTCTTGTGTAAACTTCGTTTCGGCTGTTTGCCAGGAATTTTGAAAAAAGGTGTCATGAACTTAATGCTTACGTAGGAATTTTCGTTTCCATTGCAGTCTGTGAAGCATGACATACAGAAGCTGCTGTGTCCCCACCCCACCTCTACTGGCTACCCAACATCTGGCCGAGATTCATATCAGATGACATGGAAAAATGAAATTCAGTGCAAGTTACGCAACCGAACACGGAGTGTGGTATCCACATGTGTAGCATGTGGGGCACAAGAGTTGACCAGGGAAAAAAATTTGTGAAACGGAAGCAGAGGATGTCCAAACAGCTCTGTTGCGAATTTTGTTGATTCACGTTGCATCCTTGTCGAGCGATCACACCAGCTTTCCAGGATCGCTTGGGAAGAGAAACCATGGCCAGGTGTAGATGAGGTGGTGGGTCATGGAAGCCTCCAGGAACTTCTGTCATCTGCATGTCATGAGTGCCATGGATCATCTTTTGTAAGCTTGCCCCTACTATTGTCCTTCTGTCTCACAGGTTCTAGGCGATCGTTGGATGGAAGAAAGATGCAGCCGACACCGGGTGATAAAGTTTAATTGCCATACAATTTTGCCCAGATTAGAATGTTGGTCCTCCTCGCCTCCCTCCCCACCCAACCACAGGATGCCCGGAGCAATGGATGTTGCTCATCTTTTGTAACTTCACCGGAAGTGTGACGTCCATGGGGGCGATAAGTCGTGCTAGCCTTTCGGTGCCACGAGGATTCTAGACCCGAATTCATGAGATATCAAATAGGACTCTAGTAGGAGAACACACGAACAAGACGTCAGCTTTCATGGGAGTTGTGTTGAGATTCAAACTTCTTCCACCGTTGTTGGGCGACTCTTTCTACCTAAAACATGCTCTCTGCCCCTCCCTCCTCCATGGGGCCGCCCGTCTTCCACTGACTCTCTCTGCCCATGGAGTTCTTATGACTTGATACGGCCAAGCTCTACAACATTCTCCGCGCTTCATTGCATCCACAAACCGCTGATCATCATGTTCGACAAAGAAAATGGTTTCGGCACGGGTGCAACTTTTGCGGCTACTGTCTTTCATCATCTGCAAGCCTTGAGTACAGCTTTTTCTGAGACCAAAACAAGAAATTATGCTCACAGATTTCTAAGCATGATGCTCGATGTATAAAATCACCTTATTCCATATGATGACATTGGATTGGTGAAAGACTTTTTGACTACCAGAAAAATCTGACATAAACACTGCTTATAGGAAGAAATCGGGAATAGACTTGGCTTTATCATTCCATTAGTGCAAGACTTTATGACCGATGAACATGATGGAGGCAATAGCCTGTACTCATCTAATTGGAGGACGAGAGTGTTGGAAAACCTTCCAAATATGCTGGGCTGAGCATCAAGGTTGTCAACCTCAGCAGATGCTGTAGATGCGCTTTTACGGTTAGTCGGTGACAGACAATTATAAGGCTTACAGGATTACGCAACAGATTGCCGAACGCCACGTTCTCACCATCTTCCTCCTTGAGAGGAAGGGCTGGAATTGATTATGTTATCATGGCTCCAAGTTGAACAGGATCATATGCTTGAGGGCCTTGGTCAACCTGATAATGTTATCTCCGGGACATTCTTCACCTACTCACGTGATGTCAACAATCGATGAGACCAGTATGAAGATGATCAGGAACTTATCCTTACTTGTGTCCAGAGAGTCAATCAATTCGGAATGTGCTTAGACTACGAATTTAAGAAGTGAATCATTTGGCTTGAAAATCCCATTTCCGTGCTATTCCGTCTGTCCATGTCATAGGAATCAGTTGGACATGCCTTTACAACAAACTCGTGACAACAGAATAGACTTGATGGAGGTGTACTCAATTATCTTTGTGATGCGAAGTGACAGTCACTGCCCGGCAGTTTTTCCCCTGCCTTTTGCGCCCTGAGAATGCAAAGCACGAATAATTCGAGATTAGGAACGAAAGCAGTGTCAGTGTTTATTAATCACTCCTTAATGACATCTAAGGCAGGATCTCATGAACGACCCATGTTCGAAGGATTTACACGAGTGTTGCATACAGCAGTCCTGCAATTCTTTTACAACAGCATATCTCCCCTTTGGCCCTTTATTAGGGTAGACCAGGATCACAAGAAATGGATGTTGGCCTCGTGAGGACAAACTCGGAAAATGACCAGCGGCGTGACCTCACAGTACTTTTGTACGAAGCAGGCTTGGCACTGCTCATATGGATATCGCCTGCGAACACCAACTCGGGAGATGGAGCAGAGTCGGAGCAATTTGTGTGTAAAGTAGATACAGTTCCTTTTAAGCGTGGCGCACAAGAAACGTCTTTTCTGAGTATAGCGTAGAGCTGTACCTCGTACATGGACAATGATGTTCTGACTCCTGACTCCTGACTTCTGAAAAGAGATGCGTACGTACATTCATTCCCACATAAAATCTCGTCAAGTCTGTAAATGAGTGCACTCAACTGCACCGATTGGTGGCCACTGTGTTGGTATCAAACAAAAGCTTCGGAACATTTCGAGTCTTGACTCTTCGACAAGTACTTTGGCAAAGTCAAATGTAATGAAGCAGCAGCAAGGAAGGACACTCGTCCCTTCCGCGAATATTCCGCCTGGAAAGATGTAGACGACGAGGACTGCATACGACTACGCTGTATCCACGAAATCAAGTCTCAGAATTAGTGATCAAGACGACACATGCTTGTGGAGACAAGCTCCAGAATTCCAAATCATCCGAGGCTCCAGCCCAGCAAGCCAGCCATCCTGCCAGCCAGCCAGCCAGCTAGCAGTAGAAAAGAAGAAATGTCAACAGGTCAACTGACAAGAGAGTTTGAGACGAGACGCTGTTCGATAACTCTTGCCAGAGGTCAATATTTTCGAGAAACTTGTTGCACTCACGCAAGCCCAGAAAGAAAGTCTACGCAAGAAGGAAATAGAACGAACCGAAAATGCCAAAACTCGAGATCAAAAAGCCCATCGATTCACAGCTCAACGACGTGAGCGACGACAATTTGTGGGAACGGTGTCAAGAAGCCGAGAAAAGAAACTCAAGAAGAGTACAAAATCGTGAGAAAAGCGAGCCCGAAAATCGACTCGCGGACGATGATTTCTCAAACGCTAAAGCTCGAAAGTCGTGTCGAAATGAAGCACGGCGACGACGCCATTGCCAATCAATCAATACCTTCGTTCGATACCTGCTGTACAAGTTAACCTGACCGGGGGTCAGGGCAGGGCTTAACCCCTGGTGAGGTTAACTGGCGAGGGCTGGGCCCTGCCTGGCAACTTGTCGCCGGGTGACTGGAGGAAGGAGGAACTTTCGAAGGTTTAGTGGCTGCCGAGAAGCAGAGCGGAACAGGCTGTAGCCAGTACGACCCGACAGATGTCACAGCCAGCCGGCCAAATTAGGCCCCCGCTCTAGAAGCACGCCACCATCTTCTCGCTCGAGCCTGGCGGCGGCCATTCTCGGACACCACAGGGGCAGCGATGGAGTGAAGATTCGAGACTGTACGAGGGGCGCCAGCTAATGATCGTGCCAACTCTGCATCCGTTTGCAGCCTCCGAGTGGCGGCTGTCAAGCGAACAGCAAGGCCCTCCCTCCCTCCCTCCCTCCCTCCCTTCTCAATTGGGGGGAGTGTCTTCTGCTGCAGCTGAAGCTGCGAAGCTTCTGTGAGGTTAGTCCTTCTGTGAGGCAAGTCCTCGCGCGGAGGTAGTACATGTAATCTCGGTGTTCGTTGCGAGACACGGGCGGAGCTTGTCACCCTGCACAACAGCTGTACGTTTGCTTGGCTTTCAGCTCGAGTAACATCACCATCACCAGCAACATAAAAATCTGAACTTCCCGTTTGCCATGAATCGGACTAGATGTCTAGGGTCATCGATGGGCAAACAGTTTGCCCCACCTCTACCTTCCTTTACATACAAACGGATCAGGTCATACCTATTACTATCTTCATACCTATTACCTCTTTTACGCTCTTCGCTTGATCGGGTTAGTCCATCCATTGACCAGGAATTTTCTGATGCGAATTGGACAATCCTGGGTGAGTGGATGGACTAATTGATGGACTTTTGTAAATTGATTCGATAATAAAATCCCTCGTTCCATCTATCTCCATTGATCTTGTTCGAGTGTGAAAGTAAAATTATGTTAGATGCAGCACACGTTCATGTGTCCATATGAATGACATCATGCGGCAGGAAGAAGATTATTTGAAGTGAGCACATAGTTCAGGGAGCCACTTTGCGAATCACTGGCTGCTTGTGCTTCGGACCTTGTCGTTTTATTCCAATCCGAATGGAATGGATTAGCAGGAACATCATAATAATAAATAAATAATGCAGCTTCAAAGTCATTTTGCAAAGGTGGAGAGTTCCACGATATGACATTATACGCCCCGTTCAAAAGACAAATGCAAATTGGAACCGGAACGTGCCCTGAGGATGGAACAGGGGGAATATTTGGGGGCCACGGTGCTACCGCACCACACAACACAACGTGGTTAGCAGTAGGGCTCACATGGTAGCGTCAGAGTGGTGGTACAGTTGGCGATTCACCACGATGTACGTTGAAGTGTCGATAATGGAGAACAGGTGAGATGCGCACTCATGGCGATAATCATCGGACAGGACTGAGGAGAGGTCGATCGTCAATGGTGAGGGACCAATCAGCACCAGCCTGTGTCGATGGATTTCAGCTCTGACAGGCTTGGCTTGTCCGACTGCGTATGGAGTCACAGACAGGCGAAGTGAATTCGATTACCGAATTGCGATTGACTCGGACGAGACGGGATTGACGAGAACACCGAGGGCCGCGAAAAATCCCAGATAACAATGAGTGCTGGTATTAAATGATTCCTGAATCGTAGGCTCTCAGGATCGCCCAATCAATTATTCTTGCAATCTGTCATTCACTCTCTCTGCACTTCTGAGGTCGCCATCTGTGGCGCAAAGCGACATCGGCATCGCAGCAGAACTCCCGCGCACATGGAAACGGCGTCGTGTTTCTCAGAGAGTCCTAATCCTCCATGCTAAGCTTTCCAGTTCGTGTTCCTCCATGTGACATTTGCGGGGACAAAAGCAGTCCTCCGAAAGCACCATGCTCAGAGATGCCACTGACATCGGGAACCCGCACGCTTGCGACGAGACTGCGAATCAATGCTCTTCCCGGATCCAATTCGCCTTTTGCAACGGAGAATAGTACGACATCTGACGGACGTCCAGACGGCCGGATTTCATCCCCAGACCGCATGTAGAGATTGCATGCGAAGAGACTTCGGAGCTGGCGGAAGGGAACCCGTGCAACAGAAGAACGTCGAGTGACGGGAGCCGGACGCAAGAGGAGATGAGGAAAGTGTTCGCTAGGACCTGACGGAAATCGGCACATGGCCGGATCTAGATGAAGTGCTCATCTGCCTGGTACACACAGACACAGACGCAGACGGACGGTGTCCGTCTTTCTGCTGCAGTCCGTCGTGCATGCCACATGGACACAGTGGCCTCGGTGACCTCATCGCCAGCGGCCGGGATGCTGACCGGATCGTGATTATCTGCTCGCCCTTCTTCTCTTCGACTGTCACGCATACAACCGAAACCTCAGCGGTAAACCTCACTGCGTGGCATCGTAACTTAGTTATAAAGAGGACGATTCTGGCGGACAGCCGTGGAGGTTTTTTTTGTTTTTATATTGACAGTTATTCTTGATAATTCTGAGTCAGTGAGGACCGAACTCAAGACGGTGCGAGCAATATATATATATATATCTAGTGAAAAATAGACCCTCCTGTATTCTATCAGTTCAACGTGACATTTTCTCCGCACTCAGCTCACACATGTCTTCCTCTTTCACGCCCTGCAAAATTTTGATAAGAAAGTTGAATTTTATTTTCCGAAATCATGGTTATCCAGATCATTGGAATACCTTCAAGTGGAATGTTTAACTTTTAGAACAAAATTTCTTCGTAAAGCATGAAAAAGTGCTCAAGAACGTAGGTCTACGGATAACTGCATACGAAATAAATAATGAACGTGGGAAGAATGTAGAGGCCGGTCCAAAGATTTGTGTGTTGGTACAGTACACAGACTTGGCTAACCACGTTCTGGTTTCCAGTGTACTTTGAGAACACAGCACTGCAGAATCGAACCGGGTAGGCTGGACGTCGTGGTAAGGGAAGGGATCGGGGACCCTCTGATCCATGAGACAACCAGCAGCCGAGAGAGGGAGACGCAGAGGGAGCTGGAGGTGGAGCAGTGGGGCCCACAATCGCCCCGGGCGACTCGTCTACGGTACAGCGTGACCGGATGACACCGTATGGATCACGTCGATGTTCCAGGGCCAGGGCTCATGCATCCCTCCCGGCAGCGAGCTGCCCGACTCTGCCGTCGCCGCTGTAGCTCTGCCCGGGGCCCTGGGCCCTGGCCCACCTCCGGCTCAAGGACGCCTCACGCTTTCCAGAGCGGGATCCCCCACTCCCACCCCGTCCCCCGCTTTTGCCTCCCTTGCCCTTCCCCTTCCTTTTCTTTCTCCTCTGCTTTTGCAGCCGGTCGTCGGCAAGCTGTCGGCCTGAGATCGCGCGTGTGTGTGCGCTGGGGCTGCGATTCGCGGAATATAGTAACGGACCGGAACTCGACCACCCGTCGCGACCCACCGGGCCGAGAGATCCGACCCGCGCCAGCGGAGAAAGGGCACCGGGTCAAGCCTCGGACCGGCATTGATAGCTGAGTCCGGGGTCTTCATGCCGGATCATTAGTGCTGCGTCATCCGGGGCGCGGCTATAATTGCCCTCCGTAAGCAGAGTTCGAACGAGAAGAGGTCGTTCCGGCCCCGGAAACCCGGAGGAAGGTTTCCACATGTGGCATCGGGACGCGGCTGCTTTTGGGGGCGGCTTTGGAGGAGCCGGTTAGAGGCGGTTTTCGTACCGGGGCAACGCGAAGGCGGGGCCGTTCTGGCCCGGGCTTTGGCCAGAGGAGAAGCCCCGCCCGCCCGCCCGCCAGGCCACGGGACGCGGCAACGACGACGACGACGCGAGTCAAGGGGGCGGATTGAGCGTTGGCCAAGGCAGGGCTAGTCGGAACCATCTGGCTGGTCAGAGGCGAGTTGGACTGGGTGGTGACGTCATCAGCTGCGCCTCCAACGTTCCGGTCCTCCCCTCTCCCCCTCACTGCTGTGCGTGTCCACGGAGGCTCTCGCGCAGTTGGCGTGGAGGGGCTAGAGGGGGAGGGAGGGACGGGAGGTAGGAGGAAAGGAGCCGATGATAAGTAGATACCTCGTCGGCTCTGCAGGAATCATGAGTGGGTTCTCTTGACTTGGACACCTTCTTCTTCTTCTGCTTCTTCTTCTTCTTCTCTCTCCCTCCCCTCCCCTCTCTCTCCCCATCCCCTCCCCGATTCTTCTCATCCCGTCCTCTCTTCTTCCGTGCTCAACGATTCTTCCGACCCGTTCCACTGTCGCCTATCCGTCGGGGTCTTTTCTCAATTGCTCAAATTCCCGTGCTTTTCTGGACTTTCTGTCCGCTTGGACTCATCTGCTTCGTTCTCTTTCTGTTTCGATCTTGTCCCCGTTCTCGAACGCTCTTTTGACTCAGTCTAGAACTGCCTCGGATTGCCGGGTCCGAGGTCGAACCTGCAGAATTTAGTGCATAATATTAAGGAACTCGATTATCTGCCTACTTCTGTATTGACCTTCCTGACTTCCTTACGTCCCGACTCAACCCTCTCCCCTCTTGCATTCCGTTTTATTCTTCGTCCAAGAATTAGCTCGAGAACCCGGCTCTCAGCAGAAAAACTCAAGATTCGCAGATGGCTTGAAGGATTTCGTGCACAGACGGCGCTGACAGGCTAGATGGTTTTCAGAAAACTTTAATATCTCTTCGCGGGCGGGTTACACTTTGTCTGCGGGACCTCGAGTCTCGAAGACAATTGCTGTCACCTTGGGCCCGGTCGTTATACTACTACATCGAGTCTCGACTGCCATCCTCGAAAACAACCCATCGAAATCCTTGGGTCCAGCTGCAAAAAATTTCCTTACAAAACCGGTGCAGGAAACGATCATGAAACTGGAACATAGACGGGAAATTGGCATATGCAGGGGAGTCGCAAGAAGAGAACGAGGTCACGCTTCTGTCTCGGATGGATTCGGTCCCTCCGGCAAACTAGGCAGATGGCAACGATCCCATGATTCTGTGTTCATGTGCTGCAGCTTTATCTTCATCTTTTTCGCGGTCATCATCACAGTCTCTTATTTCTTCGAGCCTGCAATTCTTGTCAAGGATGATTCCAGGTCGGATTATGAGATGCAAGATCAATCGGGGATCGAGGAATCCCTGATTGAATTTGTGAAGCCTTCAGGTCCTGAGAGACATCAACTTCAAGAAGTGGGTGATTTCAAGAGCACCTTGGAATATTCAGACGACGAGCGTATTGTTCCTACTGCGCAAACTGAAGATTTATCCGTGACTGCGTCTCAAATCAGGAGAATGCTCGTCGGGGACTCGGCCCGGACCAGCCTTGTTGTTGTCAACGATGAGGCGACCATAAATGATAGCCGTCGTATTGAGCTGAGTCCCGTCCAAAGCAATTCAAAGCCCAACATATCTGATGTCGATCGTCTTAAATCTGGTAAGTTGCTTTCTTCAGCAGCGACGTCGAATCTTATTCGCTTTTCCACTCTCACATGATGAGTGGGTGTTATAATCAGTTCTGCATCTCATTTAAAACCACCGCTCTCTCAGGAAGTAAACCCCTAGCTCCTTCGACGACTTGTGACCCTTCGAGGTCGACAGACTTCACATGTCATGAACGTGGGATCGCGCACTTGAATTCGTGCGCTGGAAATATACTGACGCAGATTTCTGCGTGGTCATTATTCAGGAAATCCTTTGGGGCTGGCGCATGACATCAAGATTTTCGTATACGAGCTTCCGCCGGAGTTCAACACTGATTGGCTTTCAGATGCGCGGTGCTCCAATCATCTGTTCGCAGCTGAGGTAGCTATTCATCAGGTGCTTCTCAAAAGCCCTCTGCGAACTTTGAACCCGGAGAAAGCCGACTTATTCTTCGTACCAGTTTACGTGTCGTGCAACTTCAACCCCAAGAATGGTTTTCCTTCTTTGTCACATGCTCCGGCCATGATGAAAGAAGCAGTGAACCTGATATCTAGCGCGGAGGTGTACTGGAACAGAAGCGGAGGAAGTGATCACATATTCGTTGCAGCTCACGATTACGGAGCTTGCTTTCATGCAGTGGTTAGTGTTAAATTTTGTGCCTTCATTTCCTGATTTTGTTTGTTTCATAATCTGGAGGTAGCTTTCACGCGAAAATCGACAGAATCGAATTTCTGACGCGTCTTTCTAACTCGTATTTGTGCAGGAAAAACAAGCAGTGGCAGCTGGTATTCCCGAATTTCTGCGGAATTCAATCTTGCTTCAGACCTTCGGAAGACGAGATGGGCATCCATGCCAAGAGGTTGAGAATATCCAGATACCTCCATACGTGGCTCCACAGGTGATAAGAAAGTACACGACATCACCACCAGAGAATCGAGAACGTGATATTCTTGCTCATTTCAGAGGGAAGCTGGAACTACATCCCAGAAATGTGAGCGGCCAGCTCTACAGCAAGTACGAACAAAACCCATCCCTCGAATAGATTTTTCCTTGATCTCTCACTACTTGCAAGGGCAGCTGTTTGATGGGCAATCGCTTCGCTGTAAGTGAATATTACGTGTCCTTTGAAATCGGCGATCTTCAAACGCTGACCTGTCTGTCCTTTGCTGTTTTGTAGGGGTGTGCGGACCCGATTATGGCAAAAATTCAAGCGTGATAAGCGATTTTTCTTACGACGAAAGAGGCAAGACGGTTACCAGTCGGAGATGCTTCGTTCCGTCTTCTGCCTAGCGCCCCTGGGCTGGGCCCCGTGGAGCCCTCGCATCGTGGAGGCTGTCATGTACGGCTGCGTGCCTGTGATTATCGCGGATAGCATCTCCCTGCCCAATTCACATGCGGTCGACTGGCCCAGCATTTCCTTGACTGTCGGAGAATCAGACGTGGACAACTTGCGGAGGATTCTTCTGCGAGTTGTTGCCACTAATCTTACTACCATTCAACACAATCTGTGGCAGGAAAGGAACAGACGTGCACTCCTGTACACGCAACCGCTTGTACACGGTGATGCTACCTGGCAGATCTTCAATCTCTTGTCGCAGAAGGTATCTGAAAGAAAATTCAAGCTCACAAGCAACGGGGCTACTACTGCTGCAATCTAAGATTCCTGCAAACAACTCCACCTCGCGCTCTTTCTGGTTCTCGCCACGGGCATCGTTCGAGCGTGTTCCTCCATCGAAACTACTCAAATTTCTAGCTCATTATCACACTTTTTTGGCGTTGACATCGTCGACCACGGCCAGTTGTAACCTATGATCCATTGACCATATGTCCTGTACAGCCTGTAAAATTAGTTTCTCCTCCTCTCTCTCCAGAAAATAGGAGCACAGCCCACTCTTAGAAAAGAAGAGGTATCAATACCTATGCCTTCATCCTTCATGCCTTCCCGAGAATTGTATGATACACGAGAGATGTTAGGGTGAACCATGGTTACCATTTTGGATAGACAAATTAGTTTCATCTTACAGATTTTTCCGAGCTTCCTTAGCAATATTTATAGACATTCGAGCTAAAGTGTATGTAGAAGAGACTTGTGCATAATTATAGGGCTTTTACGATTAGGTTTAGCTTGCCCACTATACGCCATCCGATCCGGGCTCTCAGATCAGGTTTGGATTTGACTGCAGGAGACAGTCCTCGGATACTGCAGCCATCTTAAGCTGATCTTTGCAACCCTCGATAATTTTTGTCACCATAATATTGTAGAAGCTACCTCGAAGAGATTGAGTACGATTACAGAGATTTTGTTCTAGGTCTTTTATATTAATCCCTCCAGCGGCTTTGCATACAGTGTCGTCGATAGGTCGCACATGTTAGCGCTCATAATCAAAGAGGATATGACGTTGAGAATGCAGTAAACATCTTGTGGATTCCTCCCATCATTAATCGATGCATTACTCTCGGTTCAGCACCGACAACTTTTTTTATCGACCGTTTCCCTTCATCATATGCATGGAGAGTCAATTTGGAGCATGAAGTCTCTCTCATTTCCCCCAAACTCTGAGCATGGCAAGAATTCTGCGCTCTCTAGAAGTTCCACCGTACTCTGCATCAATCAGGCTCGGTTGGAGATGCTGAGTTCCTCTGTCATTCTGTCTCACCCCTTGCTGGAGTTGACCCCACCAGATCCTCCAAGGACCTACCAGGTTGATAATCGGCTGATGCCATCCATCCACCATCCAGTCTGGTCTATTCAACTCCATTGACATATTTCATACGAGAATGCATAGGATATTGCCGTTTGTATGATTGATTCTAGTGACCGTAGGTGGCCAGCTCCTTTTGTTACTGTTGCCTGAAAGCTCCCACTCCCACCTTCCTTGCATTAACTTTTGACTAGGCCAGGTCATCATTCCCTCTCTGCGCAGCACAAGCCTACGGTATCCAGATCTTGGAGGTACCGTTGCAGTGGCAGACTCCACAGAGGCTGCATCTCTGTAAATCACAATGTCCATGCAACGTCGCGTACCGAGGTCCCAGTTCATGGGGACCAGTAGAGATAATGCCATCCGTTCTCCTCCCCTCCTACGCCCAGGTCAACTCAACTCACTCTGCTAATTACTCCTACGGTACGGTATCAGCTATTTTCGTTGCTTGCCACGAGCCTTTTCTACAGTAGAGCAGGCTGTATCTGTGAGATTATGTCAGACATGTCTGACATTGACTGTCAGGCAGACAGAACTCTTTATGGGTGAGCACAAGGTCTATAAATGTCTCTGGTCCTGCCGTAGTTGCGAGTGACAGGAAGAGGGAGAAGCAGCAGCTCTCACTACAGGAAGTCCTCTGCCGTCTACGCACTTGCATGTTCATTGTTCCAGACTTCCGACTTCAGCTGCTTACTCAAGAACTGTGGCACTGAGGGGATCATGATCTTCACGCTCGTTCCTAGAATCGAAACGTAGTTCTGAACTCTGTGGTTAGATAGGACCTGGAAGAGTGAAAATCTTGGCCAGCGGTCATCACCATGTCCGCTGCAAGCTGGCTGGCGGGCGGGCGGGCAGGCAGGTGGATTGTGCGTCAGTGAAACTCACAGCATCGAAACCCGTAAGCAAAAGGCTGTGAGGATTCGATCGTGTGCAGAACCCTGTGACTGAAATTGACAGGAGCAGGGAGCGGTCCGACTCATCAGGACCTAATGTGCGGCTCACTGCTTTCTGATGCCCCAAGTTGCCACTGGACTGTGCGTCCGTGTCGGTCTCTCTCTCTCTTGCCCAGAGCTCTTAACCCTCCGCCTACCTCCCTCTGTCGACTTGCCGGATCACACCCCCAACAACCAAACTCGCAGTCTACGCTCATTGCGATTCAATGTCGGGAAAACGTTCCAGGTATTCATTCATGTACAATAGTCCTCGAGTGTGCTTCGGATACGCTAAAAATAAAAATAAAAAACCATGTCCTTTGGCTACCTGACATTGCAAAGCCCTATCGACCTTCTCCCAAATTGAACGTCCTCTTGTGAATGCAAAACAATCCAGAGCGTAAATGCGGGAAGGAGTCGTCATAGAGCGCCTGGAGACATCGAATGGAAGGGATTTGCATGATTCCAAGACCAGCAGCAGCTGCCGGGCACGAAATTAAGCTCGTGTAGAATCTGACACGAGAGGAGAGGTCGTAGTAAGCTTTCGGATATACGATTGCACCGAGCATGCTCACGGACGAAACGTTTAACGACTTTGGCCCCCATGATTGCATGAGCATTTCTGGGGGATCTGAAGTCCTTCCAAAATGTTTCACTGGCGGCGGTCATAACACGCAGTGTCAACTTTCGCATTGTACAGTACTACGTCGGACGGTATCGTGTACACAGAAACTCGGTGGCCTCGATCTCCGTACTTACTGCTTCTGAAGTAAAGCATCTGCTCTACGAGACGAGATACTTTCTCGTGCACCGCCTGTCGTGAACGTGAATTGTCAATATTCCCGCTGTCAGAGCCTTTCGACGGCAAAACCGCCTTCAAGGTTACTGCACAATTTACTCGATCTGCGCGACAGTCCTCGCAATCACAGGCAAATTGATTGCACAGGATCACGGGTACAATCAATTTGCCTGTATATGTCCCGTATGTGAGCAGGAAACGAGGCGATGATGCCAATGTCAAATTAGTTCGCCTTTCGTTACAGTACTGGTGTTTCAGGCTCGCTCCTGAGATTTAGGTGCAGCTGACAGCTGACAGCCTGAAATAATCTTTGAGCTCAAGACAATGGAGCATTTGTCCTAAGGCAGTAAAATTTAATGATCCTCGAAGCAATTAACACTAGATTCTCATGGTGCTGGATGAGCGATGTTGGATACAGTTCTCAATATTGCGAGCATATTTCCCCCCTAGTCTTACACTTACAGCCTCGCACCGAATGTGCTGGGTGCCTACAATCCAGCCTACTTCGAGCATGAGGTGTCTGATGCAAAAGTAAGCTGGCATCGTGAGCTCTGGCGCTGGCTTGAGCTTGAGATGTGGCCTGCCGCGAGCCAGCAGCCATAATCAAATCAGAGTTTACAGTTCAATCAATAATGGTGAGTTGTAGTATGCCACCAGCGTCAGACCAACTGCAAAGTCGATTCATGTGACTCGCCTGTCTGTCTCATCACAGCAATGACGATAAATCAAAGAATTTTTGTCTCTCGGAGGCACATGACAACCATTGCAGAGGTTCACCCCGATGCGATTCGACTTTCGTCTGACAAAGATTCCTGACGAGAAAGACTTTCTCGTCCATTTCGTCCCAGAATTTCTTCATCGGGACCAGGCTTGAAGTGACTAACCCATTACTGCGGATACTGACGCTCAGAATCAGAAGAGCGCATTCGATCATTTATAATGTCTCGTACAGAAATTGGAGTACAGAACACAGCGATTCAGGGGAGGCCTCTTATCCCACGGCAAATCGTCATGACCAGTCGACGTCAAAATTGTCAGTTCTTAAGGTGAAACGCAGTGAAGATGCGTGGCAGAGCTTGTGCTTCCCGATTCTAGACCTTGTCAACCACGAGAATGAAATTTCTCGTCCTCTGCTAACACATGCGGGACTTACAGGAGTATGAACAAACTATCAAGCTCGGGTTCTAGGGAAAACTGGGCAGCAGAACACCGTCCAGTCTCCACCCCACTTCTTGTGGTAAACTCTCGATGCAGAGCAGGGAGCTTGATTGCAAGACGTGGAGTTGCGAGTAGTTCAAGAAGCCTTGCCATGGTGACAGCCTCCATTTTCAAAGCAGAGGGAGAGAGAAAACGAAGGTATGGAGAAGCTGAGCCAGAAACATCTCCACCTGCAGCACGCCCAGCGCCAGACCAGGCAACGCAATCTGCGGGCTGACCCGGAGGGCGTGCGTGATTCTGTAGTCGTCGCCTTCGACATTGACGGCCTTCGAAGAACTCATGAAGCTCAGGGGGTAAGGTGGTGATGAACAACCCGGTCCCTCTGGGAATGTCGTAGCCGGCTGTTCAGCCGAGGAACGAGCATGGATGCGCTGAGGGAATCAAACACCAACTCGCCTGGAGGCAGCGCAGCTCGCACAGGCCAGTCTCAATTCCAATCCGCTCTCTGCCCACCACAAAATCCCTCCTGTGTCCGGATTCCGCATGAGCTCAGCCATAGTCCACGGCGCGTGGTGAGGACTGGTCTCGGATCGGGCGATAGGTCCTGCATTCGCGATGAGTTTCAATCGAATCGGCAGCCACGCCCAAAGCACATGCTTCATACTGCGCCTCTAGAATGCTGAGAGCCGATTTCCAACCGCAATGGCCAGAAATGGACTCAGCGCAAGCCTTTTTCTGCCATCAGAGCTCAGTCTGTGCTGGAGCTTCCTCACGTCCGTGGAAGTGCAGGCGCTTGAAACGATCGATGGTCCAAACAGGGCATCTCGCTTGTTGTCTCTGAGGAAGATTCCAGAGTTGAGGCTGCTGTGTGATTAGGGATGCCCAGATATTTCTCTCCATCGCCTTAAGGCCTCGGGTCTGACCAGTGTGCTTTCACATCATACTGACCTGGCCATCGGCTTCCAATTTGTTCGTCAGTGAGGTAGTTTCCCTCGAGGCTGTCGTTCTGCAGGTCAAAAAGTGGACCCAAAATCTCTTCGTTCTTCTCAGCTCCCTCTTTTAACGGTGCAAATCAATGAATATGTCCAAGAATAAAGCTAAGGCCTCCCTCGGTTGTACGAAAAATGCTTGCCAGCCATCAATCTCCAGCTTCTCTAACGACAGAAGGACGTCTGCATTAAGTATCCGGTTTGCGAGCTTGTTCTACTCCTTCTCCATCTAATGGAAATCGTTTTCCTCTCCTCACCAGAGTTAGCAATTTTTCACCCCACAAAAGCTCTTGATGAGATTCCGTCGAGGTTTGTCTCCAACAGCTTCGCTTCTATTTGTAGTAGCTTTCCATCTCGTCCTTCGCTCGGTATCTGCTGTGAAGAGTTGACCAGCTCCTCTCTACGAATGTCCTCACGAATAGGAAACAGAGTAAGTTTTCAACGCTGGCTGCATCTTGAAGCAACATCAGCTGCAATTCACGAAATTGCTACTAAACTAAAATTATAATGAGCTCAAGATGATAGTCCAGAAGAGGGACAGGTGTGTCCATGGTACTCGTTCAGATATCATCAAGGTTACGAATCCAGTGATCCTTTGAGGCAATAGAGCCCCTCCTGAAGAGTCCTGTGAAAAAAATTGAATGTGTTGTTGTACTCATGACAAACAAAGCCTCGATAATTATAACAATGAAGATCTCCAGCATAGCTTGCAGGGCGAGAGGTCATCGCCCCCAGCCTTTTCAGCATCACCAGCGGCTAGTAAGATTAGGCAATTTGGTCAGTGATCGGCGAGGAAGGAAGTTTTCCTAGCAGAGAGACATGTCCTATCACGGGCCATCCTGGAGGCGAAGTAGAATACGTAATCGCGCATTCACACAAAGCAAAGAACAAACCTTCTTTTTAAGAGCCTAATGTTGACATGACATTGAAGACTGTCTTCAAAACTTCGTTTCATCTCGAGATTATCAGCAATAAGCCGATAATCATCATGCATCTGTCCTATCCTCTAATCTGCTCTCTTGCATCAAGACTTGGTCTATCTTCTCTTTCTAAATCCTTGATGTGCACACGTAGAGGTGCATTAACTAAGCAAGCAGGGGTGAGTTCATAATCACGAATATCCGTTGTGTCAAGTTACCCGATCTGGAATCACAGATTTCCATTCTATCGTTTCACCACTCCTATCGAAAGCTCGTCCACTGTTTTCCTTCCATGTGACTTTCGTGCTCTTTAACTGGTGTCAATCTAGTTGATTTTCCTTCCCTCGGATCTGGATCCGTGGTACTCCAAAAGTCATTACCTCTCAACTTGGACCTGAAAATGAATAGATCAAATCCAAGTTGAGAGGTAAACACTCCAGAATATATCTCAGGAATGATCTCATCAAAGTTAACCCACCGCAAATTTTAGTCAAACAATGTGTAGATTCAATTCGTTCCATGCACCATATCCAAATAATAACTACAGTGGACGGTTTGCAGCGAGACATTCACTGATCGCACAGATCACATTTCTAGTGTGAACTCCTCAGGCATGGGACTGATACAGTTGCAATTGCTTACAGAACGGAGAGTAAAAAATTTTACAGAAGTGCCATCGTATCTTGAGGACGAACGGAAACGCTATTTGTTGGAGTAGTACATGCTCTAAGGAATCAGATATAATGTTTAGAGGGAGCGTGATAATACCCAAAGCAGGTGACACCGAGTCCGAGCCTACTTGGAGATGATGTGTGGGTACGCACCAGCGCACCCATAGGAAGATGTTTGGTATTAATATCACGTCTGTCTAGGCCCCACTTGCCCATTGACTTCGTTCATTAGCGCCCCAAGGTAGTTATAGATCTCAAGTGGAAGCTGTGATCATCCGTGTTTGACTTGCTTTCGCATCGTAGCTGCCTTTTTAGCTGGACAATATTTGCTTCCACGAAAACCCAAGTAACTGACACACAAATCAAACGAGTTCAACAGATGACTGACAGGCACGAGCTTGATTCGAACAGTTCTCGAGGCTCGGTCATTAGAAATCTATTGATGCTGGCTGGGCCTTCCAAAGTAACGAAGACTCCCTTCCGATTTCCTACGACTCTACGTGAGGAGGATTCGAGCAGTTGAAATGTGCAGTTCAAATTCACATGTCAACTGCTAGAATCGATCACGGGTGGGACCCCACCGATGGACACTCTCAGTGGTTGAAACAGTAGTTCACAGACTTCGGTTCTTTTGCTTCCAGATACAACAATGCTCGGCCATGTATGGAAAATCCATCTCTTGTACATCCAGCCTCGGTCTGCGGTTTACTCACTTGTTCTCGCTTCACCGTGAGCTCAGAGATCCCCCCTCACATTCTATCTGGTTCTGTTCTTACCTCCGTGTACAGAAACACATTACGATCATGGCTAGTCAAACCTGCACTTTTCTCCTGCCACATCGTAACGGCTGGAGTCTGCAGTTCTACTCTTCTGGTATCGATAGGCTTTGACCTTCGATTACGTTCGAGCATCAAAGAATCCACGATCACCTAACGCCGAGATTTCTCACTTCTGCTTCGAAGTTTGACTCGGCCCATACTTATTCACAACTTAGGTAGAGCTAATAGGAAAATTAGTTATCGGATAGAATCAGCGACTAATCAGTGAGCATGAGAGTATACTGGGCCTGGCCCTTGTAGAATTGTCAAATTTCAAATCATGTCTTTCTGAATCGGGATTATAGAGGCCAATTGGACTATTCTCAACCCGGTAACTCTTGTCCTGCAGAAGTGATGGGATTCGTGGATTGGTCTCATTTCCCAACAGTTTGTAGTCATTGTAATCATCTCTTAGTAATCATACGGGCATTACAAAAGAGCTCCTGTGCGGAGTTTAGGTCCACATACGGCCATCATTCTCTTGATTTGCTTCCAACAGATTTCATAACTTATTGAATACAGATCAAAGCCAAGAACGGTACCCTTCTCTCATCTCTTATTCTCAATTTGTTCCACATTAGATTATCATCCCCTGAGAGTCCAACAGCAAGAAAACTTCACATCAGCTCCTTTCGACATGCAGACATACAGTGCCTAGTATTCGTAGACAGGGAACTGAAGTCCGCAATGCCATCCAACAAGGGGAGTGTCTTTGAAAGCGAAGTCGAGGCAAGCTATTGCCGATTCGTATGTGACCATTACGCTATCCACAAGGAGAATCAGTCCGCAGTCAGAGAAAATGACAGCATTCTTGGTCTGTTTTCTTGTGGGATTCTCGAATTTCATGTTTCATCCTTCAAAATCAGGATGAATGGAACGACTGGAATCATTCTCGATCCAGTTATGGGCGTCCTTAACTTCTCGTCCTGACAGCTGTCTCGATCAATCATTGCAAACTTACACGCGCCATAACTGCACGGAGCTTATGCTCGCTGGCGGCTATGGAGTGACTGACTTACTTCTTGCAACTTGCCTCGCAGAAACAGAGTTAGAAGGTTCTTCCCTGGAAATTTCTTCCCATCCTTCTCTGAGCCCAGTCCAGCCTCCCTTCTGCGAAAAGGCAAAGAGTGCCCAGTGATTCGAAGTTGACGTTGCTTCAATGGTTCCACTTGTAAGCTGACAGTTGCTTCTAAACAGCAGTGAGAATCGGAATGACAGCGAGCATAGGTAGGGCCAGTCTCCTTGAATAGAGGGAATGAGAGCGCAAGTGTCCAGGCAGTTGTCTGCTTTTGTACGGGATCTATTTTCAGCAATTTTTGCTCCTGCGCGCGTCCTGTTTAATTGTCGTCGATTCGTCATTATTTTCCGGTCGACACATCATTAACCTGAGCTGCTTGCGGAACAGAATCCTCGCTGACCCGTGTCTCTCGATGACTGCTCCATCAGATCCCTCTGTTGCCTGTTTCTGCACGAACGCTAAGGACAATTCACCAGATTTCTCCGTGCACTAGTCTGTCCAGTGTACAATTTGATTCAGAATTAACTCAGAAGCGTCTAAGAATCAAATGGCGGTCGAGAGTTTTCACAGCACACGACAGGTTAAAAAATTGATGCATCAAGGCGATGATTCCTTCTTGTCGATCAGACGAAGCTCGAAGTGCTTGAGGTGAAAGATCAGGAGAGGGTATAAAACATGGAGAAGTACTGAAGATGAGGCCATAAGAATTGCTGAAAGCCTTAGGTAAGAGGGACTACAAATAAACGAGACATTACCGTCCTCAAAAATATTCATACCTTGTAATGATCCGAAACCCGAGACCGAAAATCTTGGCCTGAAGAGTTTCTCGGACAACGCGACTCAAAAAGCAAGGTTTAGAAAGACTTAACCTCGTGCTCCATCTCAGACTTCTGAGAGATATTCTATGTATCATGGATCACGATCATGTCCACTCACGCGAAGTGTGAATTGTGAAGTCTGATCATGAAGGAGTCGGTCTCTCATGCGACACTTGCTCACCACTAAATCTTCAGAATAACTTACATAGGAAGAAGAAGGGGTACGAGGTTCAGTGCTAGTGCACCTTGTACGCTGGTGCGAACCGGGGGCCGGAGCCATAATCACCACGATTGGACATGGGTCCGTGTTCTTCAACTCATGCCGTCAGGGGAAACACCTCTGGATTCTTTCATCTACTTGAACGTGAAGTCATTCAAAAACCATGCGGATAACGCTTTGCAGGTTCGATGAATCTTCCAACGATGTTCTCAGCAGCAAGTCCCAGAGTTGTCCCGGATACTTGAAATAAACCAGAACTTTCTGTACGAGCGCAGCAGCTCAAAAAGGGCATCATCTGCACGTACCTCACCATGCTGAATATCTTGTAGGGTGACCCTTGAAGCACGTTGACTCGCGTCGATGGCTGCTTACCGCAATTGATCGATGCCAATAACTGGAATCCGTGCACGTCACAGCAATGGTCCCGACTTCGTATTCCTGCTCATGATGAAGCATCATAATGAAAATCTCTTCATCATGATGCGCCTCTGCAATCTTCATCATACTTGATTCGTAGAGGAGATTGGCTTTGAGAGTTTTACAAGAACTAGATTGCAGAGCTCAAGACGGGCGTACAGTAGGAAGGAGGACCACGCCGTATAGAGTATATGTTGTCCCAGACAGATCTGCATTCCTGGCAGCAAGGCCTAGTTGACATTCAGATGCTAGATATATGCACAGATACACACATTTTGAATTGAAGATCTCACACCCATCGTCTAGAAACTTCAAAATTACTTGTAGACATCGTCCTTGAGACGCACGTAGCATCAAGGACGATGTTCTACCCGAAGCTCTATGGCCTAAACCCCTAATCTTTACGAGCATCTCCGGTCATCGTCTTCGATCTCCATCAGTTCTGCTTCATCCCATAAGCACCTTCTCGGCCTGTGACTGGTGACTAGAGTCCTCTCATCGTGCGATTCATCTCCGAGCATGAGCTCCAGCAGCTGCTTCTCCAACCTGAAGGTCCTTCTCTCCCTCCCACATTCTACATTCTGCACTCGTTTCAATATCAAATCCATGATCGATGATCGAGTGTGTCCAGCTTCGATGGATGAACTCAAGACCTGCTCTGCAGGCGTCTGCCCTTCTTGGCTTCAAATACTATACACCTCGTGGTCAGAGCTGGGCACGGTCCTTCCCCTACACGACAGTAGAGGACCTGGGATCTCGATCGTGCATGGCAGCATGAACGGTTTCCTGGGGCCTGGATGGTGCGAGGGAGACCTCTTGCCTTCCCCCATCGATTCAGCCCAAACTCTCCAACAAATATGAGAACATCTCGACAACTAGAAAATGAATTATGACTTTCAGTTCTCTATCAGGTTTGGGACCACCTGGGAGAAGGTAACGATGCATCTAAAGTTTCATTCGATTTCTTAGAAGCTCTACCCTAACCCATGCAGAACGAGGGAGCTGATCCCCACGTTACACACAACGTGACCAGAGAATCACTCCATGTTAGTAGAGTGAACTCAAGTGAACTTATTAGCTCAGACGTTGGGTGATTCAAGTAAGTACCATCTAACAATTTTCAAATCCAGTCAAAGTGGAGTCTCGAGAAGAGATTATGAAATCTGGTCAGATCCCACTTGCCACCTTTTCTTCCAGATAATTCTTGAAGCTTGGAGAAATAGAAGCCGCCTAATGTGGGTTGCGGAGTGGACCACAGCCAGGGATCCATTGAAGTCTATGGCTGCCGTTCGTGAGCCCAGTGTTATTATTCCCCAACCCATTTCTGTAAAGGCAGTTCCACTGTTGTTGAAGAAGGTAGATGTTGAGCCTCATTCTCGTGAGCCCATTACGACATTTAGTGTGTATCCTATCCAGATCACTCAATCTGTGTGTGAGGAAATTCGTTATAAGATGTGTATTGATACCAGCAGTACACCAGCGTATGGATCGAAGCCTATAGCATGAGTTCTATCAAAATTCAAAAGAATGTGAAACCATTCTTCGACAAGGCTATGACTTTGACTCTAATACCTTCATGGACAGCACTAAGGTCGACATTGCTGCGTCTGAAAGGTTCTGATCACCAATAAAGATGTGCATGTAGATTTGAATATATATATATATATATATCTCGATGCAGCACCTACTGGCATATCAGGTGAGCAGTTGTTAACAGCATTTGGGAAGACTACTATTTCTCACCAATGCGAAGTAGTAGCTTTGGTGGAGATTCCTGCCTTCTGAAATGAAGCTTCTCAAAGTCTTTACAACCAGTTGCATACAATACGGATATCTCAAATGTACACATGGAGTCTCCTCTAAATGCCTAGAGTGGAGATTATTTTGGGAGACATGGTTTCCAAACATAAAGGGGAGGCTAATTATCACTCACCCTACTCATCCTTGTGATTGGTAAGAGCTATCCCTATGATATATTCTTCACGGCACAGAAGTAATGTACATTAGACTGGGGTGAGGGATAATTAACACAAACTGATGGACAACTAGCCGGTCCATGCCTTGAAACTTGAGATGTGATTAATCGGTTTGACAAGGTGTGGCTTGTCAAACCGATTAAAGATGTGTCAATTGAAGATGGAAATGATGTTGAGAATTAATGATCGTAAATCAAAGATTGAGATGGTATTGGCAATTGAAGTTGAATACGATCATCGCTACTTGCAGCTAGCAAATGAAGGCGATTAACAATTGACAATGAAAAACATAATGCTCCGCCAAGTGATTTCATTTTTGATAGTTTGATGTTTGGAGTTTATTTTGAGAGTGATTTGAAAATGTAATCAACTTAAATAGATTCAAAGAAAATCAATATCGATATGCGAGTAGTATACGAGATGTTAAATCCAAGACGTAAGGGAGTAAACAAATTGGGTTATAGGAAGTTTGAAATGAGTATAAGTGAGTATCAAATTCATAATTATGTTTAAAATTTAAATGATGATCAAATTGTTAGAATTGCAATGGTCATTAAAGTTTTACCTGCTTATTATCACAAACTGGTTTATATACAGTTTAGGGTTTGCAATTAACACCATGGTTAGATAACCGCTAGTAGTGATATGTTGGTATGTAATCGATTTGTAAATCTCTTGGCTCTGCTCTTTTACTTTTGAGGTGATTTTATGTACTTTGTTTTAGCATGCACAACAAAATTCGACTAGTTTGATGCAAGACTAGTTATGGCTTAGAAATAAATAGTTGTTTTTTGGCATAACCCTAGCTCTCTTAGTGCTCAGTATAAAAAAACGATGTCCTTTACAGCCTTCAAAGTGCACAATTTTAATCTGCAGTAGTTGACATCGTCACTCTATTCTGCAATTTCCTACTCCAATAAATCATGAACAATTTTGATAGTTGACATCATCACTTTATACTGCAATTTGCTACTTCAAACAATTTTGATTCTAGACCTTCAAGTGTTTACATTCCACCCATAGTCAAAATTGGCATAAGTATGATACATCAAACCTCCATGCTGCTTGAAATGAAAATTCCAATAAATTTTTTCATTCAAATATCTCAAAATTGACTTTATAGCAAATCAATGAATTTCTTGGAGATGCTACATATATGGACAAACGCTATTTATTGCAAAGCTAATATCGGATCGTGAATCTTGATCGTTGCCATAAAGAAAGTGATACAATCAATGACCTATATAATGTAGCATCAATTGTCGATGTTCTACTATGAAGTTATAAGTGCAATCCAAGAGTCATGAAAAGTCAAACTGAGTTACATGTCTCTAATTTAAATTTTTGTATAAATTTTGATTATGAAAATAGATTTTAATATATGTTTGTTCCAATTTTGATCCTAAGTACGGCTTTGCATCACCTAGAATTGTTATTTCGAATTAACTTTTAAGAATACTTTCAATGTTGTTGAATTTGTCATGATCATCTTCAAGAAGCAACAAATTTACAACATATAGTAGCATAATAACATACTTGTCATCATTGACTTAGTATTACATATTGCTATCAATTGTGCTCTTTTTGACTCCATGTTGTGTTCAATAGATATTGATTCTTTCATATCAGGTCCTTGGTGCTTGTCAAAATGCATAGAGAGCTTTTAAAAATTACACACTCTTCCATCATGAGATACTTTTAAGACATTTAGCACATACATATCACATCTTCATTCAACTTGTCATTTAAGAAGGTTGTTTTAACATCAAGATGACAAATTTTTCAACTAAGAAAATTATTGTTTGTATCGTGGGTCATTTTACCACCAAAGTAAAGGTATCAAAAAGATCTAGGTACTCTAATTTTTTTTGGGTTTTTTAACATGGAAATTTTGAACTCTATCTTTCAATGATTTGCTTTTTTTGGAACGATATTCATCATACAAATTGTTGTATTAATTGTTTCACTTTACATAAACGTGGAGAGTTGAGATTCAATTGCCATTGTTCAACGCTTCTCAATTTTTGTTCTATTAGATTGCTTTGCAATTCCATTTTGATGCGATGTTTGAAGTTATATCAGATTTCTTGTAATGTCTTCAATTTGCAAATATGCTACAAATTTCTTGGCCATATACTCGGCTCCTCTATTGGACCTTAAAGTCTTGATCTTTATATATGTTTGTCTCTCCATCATTGCTTTGAAGATTCAAAATTTGCCCAAAGTCCCAATTACATCTGTGTGAAATAATTTTAATTCTTCATCATCTTTGTTAGCTAATGAATTCTGTATACAAAATCTAAATCATAAACTTTTAATTGTTTAACATGTTTTGCAAAAGTTATGAATATCATCTATTTGAGTCAATTCCACTACAATATTTTCTCTACACAAGTGATTTATTCTATGGAAGTTGAGATGAACAAATGGACTATGTCATAAATTTGCGTCTTTTGTTTTGTCATGTTGTTTATTTCACTAGCTAATGAGATAAACATGTAGAGTTTGCTAAATTGGTCTAGACTTCCTATAGCTATAACTTGCTTGTTAACAAAGTTTTTCTTGATCCAAGAATATCTTGTACAAATAAGATATCAGGATTCTTATTTGCAAATTTATCTTCACGAATTAAATTGTTGCGCATAGATTAGATTGTCAAACTTTATTCTACAATTGTGTTATCAAACGTGAGCATTCTCACGTACCTCAGCTCTATATTGTTCTACTCCAGATGTCATGACGATATCTTTTTTCTCAATCTTCACACAATCTAATGACTCCTTATTTCCTATCACGTAGTTAGAAGTATTCATATATTACTTGTGATTATGATGATCGGTCACATCAGCTAATGCAAGATCAAAATTGTTTACAACATCATTATAATGTACTTTTTTCTATGTCATGCATGATGGAATTGATCAACTCATGATGCTCTCTCGAAGTTACTCTAACCTTTCTCTATGACCAGATAGATGCAAAATGTATTTCCTTGTCATACATCCAACAAGTAGGATTATTATGTTCACAAATTTATTTGTATTGCTAAGGTTGTAGAGGTTAGCTGTTACCTTCCATGTATCAATGATCATCAATTCGTGCTTCCACCATATTCACGTCTTATTGGTGCAGGTCGTCACTACAAAGCTAGAGCTGCATCTTCTTCTTCACATCGTTGCTTTTGCATCTCTTGTATGTGTACTTTGATGAGCAGTTTGAAGATAATATTCTCATAAGAAGTAAGCTACTTCAAAGCAACAATATCTTCAATAACTTCCTCGTAAGATAATGACATTCCATGATTGAAACCATTATCTTGTCAGGTATAGATTCTCCCATTGACGATACTTTATTCTTCAACTTTCTTGCTTTTTGGATGTATTGCGTAAATGATACTCCCAAGAGAAATACTTGTACTTAATCATCCGACTGGAAATTACTCTCACGCACTTGCAAGCGTCATTTGAATCACCATTCTCAAACATTAAGTCCACAAGATCATCAACTTGCCCACATGTGCTGTGTTTTTCAATTTCATCGGTTGAATCTCGTTCCCAAGTATGACATTAATTGTAATCTATGAGCTAACCACCATCTCGATCTTGTTCATTGTCACTTCCCAAAGATCAAATTGTTTAAGCATCAACTTCATCTTTAGTTGCCAATGTGATGATTGCACTCTCCCGCCAACTTGTTTTCTCCTTGAAGCATCATCTTGTTATATCCATCCAATATGCACAATGAATGGGATAATATAAAGCTCATCCAAGAGATTTGTATCAAAGCTCACTTTTTTTTCTACACTAGTATATTTGTTCTTTGCTCTAACACCATGTTAGAATTGCAATGATCATTGTGAATGACTACCTATTTATTATCACAATTTTGTGTATATAGAGTTTAGATGTTGTAATTAACATTATCAAAACACTCCCCTACTATAATATCAAAACCATAGTGAATTTCTATATTTACCAAAAATCTTAAATATTAAAATGAAGATAAAAGTATATCAAATTACTTACAAATCTGATAAAAGTTTATCAATCAATATTTCATTTTCATTTAAAAAATATTTATACAAAATCAAATGATAAAATTGCATTATCTGTTATATTTTATGAATGACAAGTAAACTATTTATCATCTATAAAATTTTGAATATGATAAAATTGATATGTATTGTTATGTTTTTTATCATTCGTAAAACTAGCTTATAAATTATTTGATATTATTTCAAGTGCTACATATATTCAAAACTCATTTTTAATATATAGTATAATTATATGTGTGTGTATATATATATATATATATATGAAATAATCTCGGAATTTTTTATTTGAGCCTAATCAATCAAAAATTAAAATTGAAGTCTTATTAAAATATATCATACTCACATGTTTGTGGTTAGTTTTACTTTCATCTTTGATCAACTTGTCATATGAATATAATTTTAATCTACACTTGTATTTAAATTTCAACCAATTAAAAATTTTACAAGTTGATGATATAAATCAATTTATTATATTTCAAAAATAAATAATATTATACACTTAAACTTATTTTATTTTTTCTTCTTATGTGTGTTTTTTAAAATTTATCTGTACATCAAGTTATTTTGTATTGGTCTAACATATAAACAAAAATAAAAGAGTGAAATCTCGTTTCAATTTCTTATTATGAAAAATCTGAAATATTTTGTATACAATATTTCATAATATCAATTTTTATTCATATCTTTCATCAAAAAATTTAATTCATAATTTAACTCACTCACATCTTATGTACAATATGAAATCTATAAATTTGCATTTCATTGTCAACATCAATCAATGTATATGAAAATGTTTTTTTTTTCAAAAAATTCAAAATAATCTACTCTTGATGAAAAATGAAAAATCATATCAAATAATTTTTATATACAAACAAGTTATATGAATTGTGAACACTTGTTTTTAACTAATTTAGTTCATAATCACACCTTTGCATGCATATTATCAAAATGATAAATATTAATATCTACGTCTATTAATTCTTTTTAATCAATACTATATATATATATATATATTTGTATACTTTAAATCGATATTTTCAATGTCAATACATTATCAATATTATCTAACATATTTGTGTTTTTCATGAAACTTTTAAATTCAATATATCATTGATGAATTATATTCTTGTAGAAAAGTGGCAAGACTATGATTTCACTATTACTCGTGAACATAATTACAAATTGTAGAAATCTTCTCTAAGTTCCAATATGGTTGTGGTTGCAAGAGAATATGTATGGACAGAGAATGTAGAGCATTATGTGGATGCATGGGCGAGGAATTAGAAGTGCAGAAAAATGGGTGGGCAAATCAAATCAAGGTTGGAATGAGTGAACCTCTTGTACCCCTTCCATGGCAACATGAGTACACCGTAAGTTCCAATACAATCTCTTCCACGTTGAACCACGACCAATCCAATCAGAAATCTCCTTCCAACAGGTTGCTGACAGTACAGTATGGCATGCCCTGCACGAATTAGTGTCTGAAGGCTTCAATCGTCTGGTCTCTGAACCTCGATCCAGCTCTAATCGCAAACACGGCGAATTGGTTTCGTTCGAGTTAGTTGTTCGTGGCATTTCCAATTGTTTCTCTCGAAAGAAAGGCAGGCAGGCAGGCACGATGACCGGTGGCGATAATTCACACTCTATCACGCATGTCATCTTCGACATGGACGGCCTTCTGCTAGGTCTGTGTCTTCGTTTCTCATTCCTTCGCTAATCGAAAGTTCTTACTGTCACTAAAATGATTTGGGACATGGGAGAGTTTTCGTGATAGGTAATCGATCGATTGTTATTGAAGATTGAAGATTCCAGAATTGTCGCAAGTGTTTGGGAAAGGATGGGATGTGTAGAATCAGTTTATCTCTGGTAGCTGAGGCCGCACTGCACTTTCATGATTTCGCTGTCGTAAAATTGTGCAAATAAGCTGGAAAGGCTAAATTTATTATGCCCGATGTTGCCAGAGAAAATGCACTTTGTATCAAATCTTTCTCCAAAAGTCTAACTAAATTGTTTCGTCTACCTCTGGGGTTCAGCTCAAAATGCACGGCGGCTTAGTACGTTAGTACCTCAAGTTCTTGATTTGTGCAATTCACCGTGTACTCTGTAATGTACTGCTTTGTGATACCGTTGGGCAATTCCTGTGTTCTGCCTCCTCTTCGCCTTGAAATTTATATTCAGAGTTACAGGGGCATACGTTGCAGTATCTGACAAATGGTTAGCAGCTGATTCTTGATCTGAGCAAGATTGTGCTCTCGGTGGCAATCCACGGTCATGCCTATGTCCCATATTCACAACTTTACAGTCATTGTCAGTCAGGTCCAAGCCATTGTCGATAAAATAATTACAGGTGTGACTCCCTTGCTCTGCTGTTGCTGATGCAGACACCGAGAGGTTTTACTCCGTCGTTCAAGAGAAAATACTGTCAAGGTATGGGAAGAAATTCGAATGGTCTCTGAAAGCGAAAATGATGGGAAAGAAAGCTCTAGAGGCAGGGCAAATCTTAGTCAAGGAATTAGGCCTGGAAGGAGTAACAACACCAGAAGAGTTCATTGCTGAGCGCGAGACCATGCTTGAAGTTATGTTCCCGGACACTGAACTTATGCCAGGTACTTCGACCTTGGTTCTGCCAACAGTATGAAAAATTCTTATTGCAATGATTCTACCCGCCCGGAGTCCCCTGTTTTTAGTTTTTCCAGAGAAAGTTGGGGCATTTTTACGTCATATTATACGCTCTGCTCAAAACAATTGTTTCTGCTCGCACACTTCTTTGCCTTTACGAAAGAAGGGCTTTACAGTTCTCGAACATAATAGTTTTTCACATTGGTATCTTAAAACCTTGACTTTGTATTGAGCTTCTACTTTCCTAACTCCGATAAAAGCAGAACCTTTGTTGAAAGGAATTGTTGACACAGATAGCATCTTCCACTGTTGGATGATTGCTACGGCTGCGTGAACACATATTCTTCGTACACTACAGTACACTGGGCGTGGGTGCGAATATCCACGATCTGAAGTCCTGCTGAGTATTTTGCTCTCTTGACTGTTAGTTCTCCTCTTTACTTGCTCCGTTTCAACATTCAAAATGCAAGCTTTTCCTATACTTCGATTGCGTAACGTTTTCATGATTCTAATGCGTCTGGCAGCCCTCTGCCAAACATCCATTTCACCGGAGAAGGCATGGGTATGCTAACGCAAATATTTACTATGTGCAACTAATATTACAGAGCCTGTACAGAACTGTCTATTTATGCCAGTCGTAACTTGGCTGACTCAGGTCGTACCATCGTAAATTCACGTTAAATTCCGATGTTTTCTCGTAGCATATGCAGAGCTTTTTTGTATTTTTGAGGTCTCCTTTATATGAAAAACTTTCAATGTAGTCTCTACGAATTCAGTCACTTGTCCGATGTCTTTGCAAACCGGGTGACAAAGGAGCTTTGGATCTCGTCAATGATTTACACAGAGGAACGGCGATACCTTAAACGAAACAGACTTTACACGCCGAGGCTAATTACCTTGTAGTCTTTGAAGCTCGTATTTTATATGAACTATCTTGGAGCAGTGTTTTGTACTGGAGATAAGGCTATGAATAAGATCTTCTACTCTTAGTTGAGTCCTTTATCACCTGCTTTGTTTCCCAACATAGTTTCGTCTACTAATACAACAAGGCCGCTTAAGAACGTATCAGGGAAGTTTCACAATCCAGTACTAATCTTGCACAGCTGCGTACACTTAGGTGCGGAGCGCCTCATCAGACATCTCTATGCAAATGGAGTGCCTATGGCAGTAGCAACAAGGTGTGTTATCTTTCTTCACCATCAACTGGGTGAGTTTTGCCCGGTGTCACTTGGAGTCACTTCCGTATGGTCACTCGTGTCACCAAACCCTACTTTTCCTACATTGAGGCCGTTCGCAACAGACAGGAAGTGCCAAAAGTATCACGTACCTGTCTTTTGCCAACAGATTGTCTGGTCCATTCAAAAGTCCCATTTTGTGGTTAGCCTCATCTGTGTTGCAGTTGCTACATGGAGGTGATGGAATTTTTTCTTACTCTTGGAAAGCTGAAACAGAAAGTGATGTCTTCATCGCGTTCAATCATGCAGCTCTCACAAACATCATTTTGAGCTGAAGACTACCAAGCATGGTGAACTGTTTGGGCTCATGCACCACGTGGTTGTGGGTGATGATCCGGCGGTGACCAAGGGTAAACCAGCTCCTGATATTTTTCTTACCGCCTTCGACCGTTTCCAAGTAAGTTGGGTTCACATTCCGCAATTTATCCTACATTATTCAGCGATTTATCTTTCATCCTCTCCTATTTTAGACCTGTGACAAGTCCTTCAAGAAGTAGTTACCCAATGGCTGCGCTGGCCACTGGTGTTCGTAAACCAAGCAAGAGAAGTAATGGACAGCGTTGCACTCTTCTTGGTAAATCTGTCTGCAAAGAACGAACTATGGACTTAACCCACATCGAAATAATGCTGCATAATTGTCACTGGCTGTATTATATTTTGCAGCCAACTTTTTATCATATGTTCAGTACACTAGCACTTCTGGTCTGCTTACTTATAATAATTTGTTTCACTTTCGTCTGGAACGCGTTCATTCTGGTGCATGGTAAACAGTTCATGGATCATAGAATGAATAACACTACGTGAGTCCATAGTGAATGCCAACAGAGGAGGCATGTAACATTTGGTTAGTACAGAGTGATTGCCAAGGTGGAGCCGAGAAAATATTCTGAGGCTGTGAAGTGCAGATTGCTCGATGAAGCTTTTGTCCTATGGAGGTGATGAGGAAGGTATGAATATCTCCACGCGTTGTCGTTCAAAAGTCTTTAACTTTCAGTGTTTTCGTTTTTTCAGGAACCCAGTTTGAAAACGGAAAATGTACTTGTGTTTGAAGATGCACCAACAGGTGTAGGGGCCGCAATAGCTGCGCAGATGTAAGTGTCAAAAGTTCGTCCGCTAAATAGTTCACAACTTCAACTAACGTATGATTCAGTCTCTTTTTCTCAGTAAAAGCTGTCGTCTGTGATACCGCTTGCAAGTTCTGGAGGATTTTTTCGGGAGGGTATCAGGGTCAGACACTGCTAAGGATAGCTCAAGGATAAATTTGTGTTTTCCATATTCACCTTCTGCAACGTCTGATGTATGTGCAGGCCGGTCGTTATGGTTCCAGACTCCAACTTGGATAAAAGCTTGCAGCAGGGTGCCAATCAGATTCTTTCCTCTCTACTTGAGTTCGACCCCACTTTTTGGGGGCTCCCAGCCTTCAAGGCATGATGAGACTGCGATGTAGGTGTAGCAGATCCTGGTCACATGTTTAGTACTAATAGTGCCTTCTTCACAAGCAGCTCGGCGTTAAGCCGACCAACGACCTGTCAAACAGCTTCACGAACCACTCATGTTCCTGACCACCTGAAAGAAATGAATAGACTCTCTGTTCTCACCCGCGGTGTACCACATCCGCACCTACGATGTGAGTTCCGTCCGGTTCAAGGCAGGTAGTGAAGAGGAGGTGCCATCAGAGCATGGAAGCGGCAGGATATACATCCAGGTCGGGACGACGTATATCACGGAGAGTTGGTGCAAAAAAGAGATTGCAGAATTTTTGAAACTCTTAAAATATGTCACCTCCCTGAGTCCAATGAATTGTACGAATTGGCTGTCGCCGTACAAAATGATTCATGATGAGAAAAAACTGGCATGAAGATCTTTGGACTCGCTGTTAGCGCATTGTGCCGAATTTTCCAGAGAATTTTTCCTAATTCACGTACGCTTAAAATTGGAAGGCCGGTTCCGAATGTAGCAGACTAGTACACAGGGTACAGCGTGTTCTCTTCCTTACCAACGCGTAGGCCCGACGGTCGTGCTGCATTCGAGTCAAATTGACCTCTCAGATCCGAGTCCAGGAATGACAGCCGCAAGACCTGATCGGTTAGCGCCAAAGAAAAGATGAAGCGAAGGTCGGGTTGCCCACGACGCAGATCTAGGTAGCATGATGGCGTGCGGGCATGCATGACCTCCTTCTTTGGATCCCATGTAGCGGACGGTTGAGCGACCAACGTTGGGCACACGAAGAGATGAAAAGCCTGTTCCCACAAATGATAGGCAGTAGGGTGCTCCTCAGGCTATGGCAGTAAACTTGCGACTGCAGTCGAGGTCAGAGCGTTCCGGGCAGTAAACAAGGAACTGATCAATTTTGTTCTGCAAGCTGAACTGAACACGGTGATTGTGGGTGGATATGGATAGAAAGGCGTTGGTCTACTCCCATACACGATGCCCTTGCTCCATCTGTGCTTTGACAGTTAACCACGTTCCTCGAGACTCCGTCTCTGAAGGAATCTTGCAGGACGCAGGTGAAAACAGGCGTCCTACGACGGACTCAGGGCTCACGATGAAAATCACTCGCTACTCAGAATTGGGTTGCAGCGTTCGTTATGAATGAGGGAATAACTTTGGGCTCAGGCCTAATGCGTTCCCTTTATGGAACTTTAGCCTACTCGTCACAGAAGTCAACTTTTGACTTGGTGCTTCTTCAGGACCTACGGACCCTGTGGAACACTTTTGGAACGTACAGGACAATGATGATGTTGTGCGGACAGAAGGCAAAACTCATGTGATTAGACATGAATCATATTTTACATTATCAGCATTGCAGTCTCTGCCCAAGTTGAATGGATGGCAAGTTGGACCAACGGTGCACAACACGACGTGGTCCATGAGGAACTAGTTTGTACCCATCAACGAATTCACCTCACTGGGAAGAACATGATGCAGGCTGAGTCTTCATGGTGAAGCTCGTGTTGGCATTTCTTTGACTTCTACCCTCCGAGTTCATCATCATGAAAACTTCCGCTTTCCAGCTCGTGAATCGTAATGACGATTAAACTTGTATGCGAAGGAGCAGTTTTGTGGCTCATGAGAAAGTAGGCGGGTAGATTTTGAGCACTGTTTGTCCAGAGGTGATGGCATATAGAACGATAAAGCCTCAATGATTAAGAATCTTATGAGCTTTGTAGATTTGTACAGGTTGGATGTTACGCACACGTACGTATTTTCCGTTCATCTCCCGATTCGGTCTACGGCGAACGAAGCTCACTGTTTCTCGTCCATCTCTTGGCCATGTCGGGCCATCCGTGAACTCTTCCAAAGGTTCCATGTGAATATTAAGCAACATGATTGGCACGTTCCAACAGCGCATTGGATCTAGTTGTTCCAGGTCGACAGAGTCGATGACCAGGCGAGGTTTATGTACGGGATCCAGGGTTTAGGGAATCAAACTTCCAAGCAAGTACTTCTATTTGAGAAAAGGATTCTCTAACACATGACACACTTAGGGATGCATCCACCCCAATGGATGCATCACGATGTGAAACAATTTTCTTGGGAAGGTTACTGCCGGGCCTCGCATTTCTTAGAAGGAAGTATATTCATTTTTCGTGCACGATCATGATTCAAGAGAAAGGCAATTGGCGGATGGAGATGGGTTACTCTCTCTCTCTCTCTCTCTCTAACATTCGGCTGGGGAGAGCAGCCTGCATACGGTAGCGTATAAACGCCCTGCAGACCATCCACCATCCCAGAATCTTAAAACAAAGGGGGACATAATCATTGCCCCTAGTGGATCTCACACTTGTCATACGAATCAGCGCTTCTTAATGACCTGCAATTACCTCTTATCTTCCACCACCTCGACTCGACCTGGAAGCCTGACCAGTTCCACGACATACTCATTTCCCCAGCATAATAACATTCCGAACTGCACAGCCACAGCGCTCAGCTCAGCTCAGCTACATACTCGCAGACAGAGAGTTCCAGAATCCGGTGGGGTTGGAGGTGGAGCAGACTGGGAGGTAAAATCAGAATCCCGTCGTCCCGAGGACCCATGCGTAGACGGGCCTGGCCCATGGACGGGGACGGGGACCAACCAGCAGACCAGTAGCAGACTAATAACCTTGGCTCATGCTGGAGCGAGTCACAGGACCAGAAGACGACAGGAAGGTAGAGCGCGCAATGTCCACAAGTGGAAACCAGCAGCGATCACAAGCTCGATCACAGTCGCCTTTCCTCCTCTTTCTCCTCCTACAACTACTCCTTCCTCCTTCCTCCGACTGGGACTGTGCTCATGTGGAAAACCTACGCATCAGTCACGCAGCAGCTTTATCGGTGCGAGAGGAGAGGTGAGAATGGTCTTGCAGCATCCCACCGCCTCTCCCCTCCCCCATGGTAGGCACGACGCCATCATCAGTTGCGAAACTTCTGCCTCGCTTGTTGCAGTTTCGTCAAACTGTGCCCAGCATGTGCACCACGGGTGCAACCAACGCCTCCGGGCTCACCCGATCCATCATTCATTCCTGAGCTTACAGATCTCAACAGAACAGACCTGCGTCCGTTGCAACCGCCTGGCTACATGCATGCCTCCATTGCCACACTCAGAAATCCCTGCCACATGGTTCGCAATTTTTTTGGACTCTTTCTCCCCACAGGGCTCGAAAACTCATTCGTCGTTCGGCCAATTTCCTCATCATCCCCTCACCCAACTCTACCCTCGGAGCCCAATCAGAAATCTCCAACACTCGAAATGGCATTATTAGATCTGAAAATCAAAGCGTCCCAAAAGATGCCACACGAGTCGACCACAGGCCGCGCAGGAAGGGGGAAAACAGCCGAAGAGACAGACGCAATGGGCAAAGGGACGATGCAAGTGCCAACCCCGAAGCGCTAAATCGAGCTAGCAGCCTCGCAGCCTCCAGCTGCTGCATGAATTCGCCAGCTAAATCTGGCCCAGCTGCAGCATGAATGCTCACTGAGAAGTGGCAGCAACTGTGAGGCCCCCTTCGAGGGACGGCTGCTGTCATCCGCGAGGAAGCTGCGACGGGAGCGCGATCGTCGCGGCTGCGGATCCAAGCGCGCCGCGCCACGTGGTGAACGCAGTCGAGGCCCTCGACGACGTAAGGCCGACACGGTCCGGAGTCATGAGATAATACAATTATATTTAATCCCGTGGCCCGACGGAGTTCCAGCGGGGTTATGTCACATGAGCGAGACTGGCGAGGGCCCCGCTGCTAATTTAAGCCACGTCCACCGGCGCTGCCCTGTCGACCCCGGCAGAGGAGACCGGCACTTCCGGGTGCGACGGCAGGCGAGGTACAGTCGGGCCTGCTCGCGTATGTTTCCAGCTAAGGAGCACACGGTGAGAAGAGCGAGGGCGCCGGTCGTCGGGCTTGACCGGGCCAAGGCGGACGGCGAACCGGGCCTCGCCACGTGGGGGCGAGAAACTCTCCGGCTGGGGAAACCGGACACCGCCAGCGCCGTGGCCGGCGCAGACTGGCCGGGCGAAAGAGGCCCGTCTGTGTTGGCGAGCGCACGCTGCAGCAGCGCAGCCCCCCCGCCCTCCTCTCGTCCGCTCCTTTCCGCCGGCGACTTGCGCGACGGGGTCCCGGGCCAAATCCCGCGGCCGGCCGTCCATCCAGCTGTTCTCGAACGGCGGAGACGGGCCCCATCTCCCCCGTCGTGCACCCGCAGTAAAAGTCGACGCCGTCGCCGGAACTCGAGCTCCAGTTAACTCCATCCCCTCCCGCAGTTCCGTCCTCGGCTCCCCCTGACGGAGCTCCGGCGCCCGGTTACGGTTGCGCGGGTCGGATCAGGTCAGGTCGGGCGGAGTAGCGGGGGGACTAGCGGACGTTGAACTGCTTCCAGCCGAACAGAGCGGAACGGGACGGGACTGGCTCGAGGAGCCAGGGGGGGGGAAGAAAGGAGGGTAGCAGCAGGAAGCGTGTCTGTTGGAGGAATCTGGTGAAGGGGCGAGGGGGGAGGAAGGAGCGGAGGAGGCGTCGTCAGGACGCAGCGAGGGAGATGGCAGTGACGGTGACGGACGGAAAGGGACAGAGAGAGAGAGAGAGAGAGAGAGAGGAGAGATGGCCAGTGAGTGAAGAAGGATGCGGATTTGCGGGAGGAAGAGGGAGGAGGAGGAGGAGGAGGAGAGTTTAATAATCGCGGAAGGAGAGGAGATGGATGCGAGGAGGGGGAGGGGGGAGCTGATGTGAGGTGATGTGATGTGATGTGGCGGAGGAGACTGGAGCGAATTGACCTGGCGCAGCAGCAGTTGAGCATCTGGGGTGTGCTTTTTATGCCCAATCGGCCTCCCGCATTAGCCATCGGGTTTCGTCTCGTCTGCGCCGATTCTCACTCGCCCCTGATTCGGTCGCTCCTCGGATCCCTGCTGCTCCTGCCTGCCCTTTCTCGCAGCCAGGGTGCAGGGCAGGACTGGTAGCAGACTGCGCGACTGAAGCTTGTGCGGGCGTGATTCATTCATATATTTGCTCCCTAGTGGCGTAGCGACGAGACCTTGGCTGGCTGCCGGGCTGGGCTGGTGCTGGTGCTGGTGCTGGTGCTAGTGGATCGATCGAGAGTCGCGGCCGAGCAAGGATCGAAAGCTTTTGAGGTGTTGTTGCGGACGAGCACGAGCACGAGCACGAGACGCAGACGAACGCGAGGACGAGAGGTCGAGAGGTTGAAGGCAGACTCGCTGTTGGATCGGTAGAATTGGATTGCTCGTCGTCGTCGGCTGGGTTGCGGGGAGGAGCTCGAGGCGGAGCGGGCGACGACGCGCGAGGGACGAGGGGCGAAGGTTGAGGAGGAGGAGGGCGGAGGAGAGCGAGAGAGAGAGAGGTAGCGAGGTAGCGAGGAGGGAAGAGGAGGGGGGCTCGCGATGGCGATGGAGCGCCGGAGCAGCGAGCAGTACAGCGGGACGTCGATGCAGTATGGGCCGTCGTTCCCGGGCTCGTACGCGGGCAACTACGAGGAGCCGTACCAAATGAAGCGATACAAGACGTCGAAATCGCGGACGTGGGATCTGGGCATGACCGACCCCGAGGTGAAGCGCAAGAAGCGCGTCGCCTCCTACAAGGTGTTCACCGTCGAGGGCAAGGTCAAGGCCTCGGTCAGAAGCGGCTTCCGCTGGATCAAAAACAAGTACATCGAAGTCCGCTACGGCTGGTGGTGACATCCTTGCTCACCATCCCCCACCGTGACAGACCTTAATTCGTCGAGCTGGGTGCAGGAGTCGATGGGACTGCAAAGGTCGATGTCCACGACGACCGCCTTCCTTTGCAGTATTCTCGCGGCAATCGGAATTGGGGACCAATTCCCCTCTCGTGAGCCCTCTTCTCTCATCGTCGTCCTCCCCCTCGACGTACACACACACACACACAAACACACACATACACAGATACTGACACTGAGACACAGACAGACAACTTTTCAAACAGAATTAGCAGGAGGAGATGATGACTCCCAAAATCACAAAACAAGTTCTTCTTGTTTCGGACATCTTTACTTCGTCGCTGGCGAGAGCGTGCGTTCGTTCTTGCCGGTGATTTCTTGCTGTAGACTCCAGCACACATAGTCGAGGAGCAGAGAGGCGTAGGCGATTGGATCAGGGTTAGGACGGGTGAGCAGTTGGAATTCCTCAGGCGAAGCAACGGACGAGTCCCATGGCGGATAGGTGAAACTGGAGCAAGAATGAGGTAGGTGTGAGAGCGGTTACGTGAAGATCCGGTCGTCCTAGCAGCAACAACTGTCCTGCCGTGATAGTGCTGACGATGATACTGATGATGAAATGATGATGATGATGATGATTTGTAAGATTGATAGTAGGTGTTGGAGCCCCCGTGTAAAATACTACGTTAATTGTTCCGAAGAGTTTTTTTTTTCACTCGAAGCACCTCGACTCGACCCTTCTTGTGGCCTTCTTCTACTTTGGTGACCATAAAATTACTGAATTGGGTGACTCTCCGTGTTTCTCGAATGCTTGTGCTCTCAATTTCGCCAGTCAATTGCCTGTCACGACGCCCCCCGCGGGCTCCCTCCTTCGCGACTGTGCGGAGGCCAGCGCTTCCCCTTGCCTGCCTCTCGGGAAGCCTGGCCGAGAATTCCTCCAATTCAGTTTCTGTCCTCACTATTAGCGAGATCCCGTTTGTGCATTATTTACTTCACCTTATATTTTCTCGGTCTTTCTCCGACGCTTTGTAATCGAGCTAGTCTCTTCTCATCTCTCATTTCTCACCTCTCATCGTTTGAAACATGGTGCGTTTTAGTGTGCAACCCTCCACATTCTTGAGTGTGTGACACCTCACAGCTGAAGCTTCACATTTCTCGTATGGCATGTCGCCCAAGGCAGTGGCAATCGTGTACTAGAACGAGGTTGTTTAGGATCAGAGATCGGGACTAGGCTCGCGGAGTGAGGGGAGGACGAGGAATGTGCGCAGCTCCCGATTGTGGAGCTGACTGACGAGGTCGTCGGTTCCACAAACTCGCGACGCTAGCGGTAGTTCCGAGGCGGAATTGGTTTGAGAACGCAGAGCTTCGAGGGAAGTGTGGTTTCGGGCGGATTTTCGGGTGGAGTATTCGTCGTGGCGAACCCCTCCCCTCGCCTCCCCGTCCACGGGCAATTCCATGGGTCCCGTTGTCTCTAGCTCTGTCGAATGCCTCTCGTGTCCAATCAGCCGAGGAGGTACTGTTACCTCTTCGTTTGATTTCGTGCTGACCACGTTTAGCGATTCTGTGGATGCATACTGATCTTGGCGTGGACGCCTGCCGGTACACAGCGATTTGGGTTGTTGCTAGCTGCCATGTGCATGCGATGCGGTCGATCTCGGCTCGTGTCAGGAATCTCGCCATGGTCTGCAGTCTGCCTCGCGGGGCGGCTTTCTGGTGCACCCGCAGGCGTCCCCGTGAAGGAACACTAGACGGTCTGAGGCACCCCCCGAGCTCGCGGGACAGGGGACTTTTTGGCACAAAGTGTCGATGGAACGTTTCGCCCGCGGCTTGAGGTTGACCTAGCCTCCCCCATGTCATGTCGCTGTGTCGGTGGGGTCTTTCTCGTACGGAGCCGCGGGGGGCGATCGGTAGCTAGTACCCGTGGGAGCGTGGAGTTTACCCCCCGTTGCGCGAGCGTTCTGACCCCCGGGGAGTTGTTAAGTCCGTCGTCCTGCGCCCGAGGGTGTCATGCGAACGTTGCGAGATTGTCACCTGCCTGACAGGGAATCTAGTGGAAAGGGGAATGGGGCGAGAGGCGAAGGGCGTCCGCTCCTGCGCTTTGGGTGGCGTCGAGTGCCTCGAATTCCGTCCGGATGGTCGGACAGGGATTGGCAGTGTGACCATCTGATGTTCTGCGATCCATGCAGATTGTCTCATCCCAGGCGGAGGTTTTCGTCGTGGATTCTCTTTTACTCTGGTTAGGAAAGGCTTCGAATTGATCGACCTGATGCGGCACAGTATGCCTGTTATGTCTGAAGGGAGGAAGATGTTGTATGAATGCATGGTTGTGGTTCGGTGAGAATCAGAGTTTTGAGTGGAGGGAGTTTGGTGCCATCTCTTACATCGAAACCCACTACTGCGATTTGAGATTGTTGTCTGATCGGGCTACTTGTGATGGGAATGGATGCTAGATTCAGTACCATCAAGGTTGGGAGATTGTAGTCGCCTGTGTTTCGCCCCTCGACAGTATTTGTCGATCAGGCCCTTATCTTGGGTTTCAGATAGGGCTCTACCTCAGAACTTTCAGCTGACCTTCGGTGGAGCAATTTGACCGAAGTCAGCACCGACTGCCTTCCTTCGATGCAAGTGCGAATAGTGCTCATCCTCCCTGTAAAACAAGAGCCAGAAATGTATCACGCGGCGAACTGCGAGTGTCTAGCACTTCGAAGCCCTTCTGCCCATCCCTATCTGCCATCCCCGCCTGGAAAGTGGTCCGAGAGCCAATGTTGGAAATTACATGGCTCGTGGCGAAAGTGCACATGCCCCAGGCTATAAACTGGGACATGCATCCACTGATTGGTCCCGTCGAGCTAGAGACATGGCCCTGTTTTTCAACGCCTGCTGCATTATGAACTTTTTACATTATTAATTGTTCTCCCCGTCATCACTACACTGTCCACAGGTGCCCTCCCTCCAGATCTTCTCGTCTCCTTTGGAGAAAGGCATCCATAGGAACACGGCTCGTCTTGATTGTAAATCTCTCAGTAGCCATCATATCCTACCACTGTCGAGAATGGTCAGGGGAAGTGAATGTGACGAATGCCACGTCAATGCAGACTTGGAGGAAACGTCTGTTCTCGAACGAAATCAAAGTGGAAGAGGTATCAGTCGAGAATGAATGAGGAATAATTCCTTCCACTGGAGAGACGGTAAAATAATGCTCACCACAGAAAGGTACATTATTGTGTCCTAAGAGCTTGTGGATTTAGAAGGCTAGAGGCTTTCAGCCATCAAAGTCAGGGTTGTGACAGCGTGACAACACTGTCGAAGCTCTCTTCCTTTCATGATGAGGAAAGATGTTCGAGTGGAATGAATAGCGCTCTCTCTGAGTCGACTGCGGGAAGGGAAGAATGAAATCAAAGTCAGTGGCTTTCAAACCACACTTCTTCAATCATCGCAATTGATACAGGAATGCATTCATATCGAATCGAATTATATCATGTCTTACGTTCAATCTACGTCCCCTCATGTAGCGCAAGTGGAGATATTTGACCACAGAGCGAAAAATAACCAGCGCCACGGTCAGAAAGGCTATCTTAAATGCTCCCTTTACGTTTACATTGTTATCCTCATTTGCACCTCGAGAGTTGCGAGGACTCCTCACATGGGTCTTCGTGTTGACTTAATAAATATACAAAGTCGGATCATATTCATGGGCTACACTTCTACAGCTGTTCCCCTTTGTACGAAGCCCAACCCGAAAGCTAGAAACGAACTATACTTCGCATACTTTTAACTGAAAGAGCTCTCTCCAGCACTTCATGTGGCTTCCATATCGAAATGTTGGTCCCCACTCCGCTGACAGCCGCTGCAGCTTGAAATCTCGAGCCCTTTCGATCATCATCTATGTGTGCGTGGATTACGGACAAACAGGCTGCCAGCTCCAAACAAGGCCCATGGCTACTGTTGGAGCAAAAATGAATGGGCGGCCAGAGAAGCAGAAGCGAATATTTCCACTGTTCTAGCAGTCTCATTGGTCTGTTAGCCCTTTTATCCAAAAGCAGCTGCTCATTATTCCAAATGTTCTCCAGCGCGAGGCGAAAGGCCCGCGGCGACTCAACTACACAACCCAATGGCAAGAATCTGCCCCGCATTTACGGCCTGCCGAGCCATCATGAAAGTGGAGAAGCTATGTGTTCTATTCACGTCCAACGAGCGAATCGAAGAAATCCTGAAGCTCATTTGAAATCATCGACACTTGGCAGCTGATTGGTATTCTTCTGGTTGCTTATCATCTTCACAGACGAAGATCGGAATATGGTCTTATGTCGTCACAAATTACCAGCTCCACAGCCTGATACGTATTCTGACCTCCCCAATGAAAACTTCTATTTGGAAAAAAGCTCTTGGCAGGTGAACTGCAATGGTGATTCAGGTTGTACAATTCAGAATGTCATAATTTTGACTGTAATCGATGTGAGGGGGGATTACTGTGAGGTTTAATTACTTCATGTATACATTGCTTGTAAATTTGATGCCATATTTTTTTGGTTGTTACAATGATACAATAATCGATAAAAAAACATAAAGCTATGTTGATAATACTTTCAAACAATGAGAGTAGTCGATCATTTAAAAGATCGAAGGAGGAGCTATGTGAAAATTCCATGAATCCGATTGGATATTATCAGCGGAAATACTACGAGCAGAGAGCTTTCTTCCTTGGTTGGAGTGAATGTATATATCCACGGTATAGTGATATAGATTTAACAGATATATAGTGAGGATAGTTTTCAGAGAGATATGCGGTGGTAATCCATGTCGTATAATTTGTGTTATCTTGATTTATATCAAATAACTTCATGAGCAGTACCAATGTGAAGGAATTATATATTCTTAACAGTGATTGTGGAATCTTCACAACATATTCTAAGCTAGATTAGGACCTTGTACCCTTCTATACAGTGCCTTCCTACTTTTTCTCAAATAATATGCTCCTCTGTTGATTGATAAAGAAAAATCAGGTAAATTTCCCTTGGAGACGAGTCTTTGTACAGCTAGATCATCACTCGGAATGGATGAAGTAGACGAAGATATCTGCACTACTTTTGGACGATCAAACTCTTACCAGCTGCTCTTCATTACGCTTTGTAAACGATGCATGACTTTAAAGAAATTCATATATCGTTTATTTATATATATATATATATATTATTTAGTTATTTTAAATTTAGTCTAAATGTCTCCAAAGCACTTGTCTCGAGCAGGCACGACCACGTGGGACATACTGTTAAATAACATTGATGCACATGCAGAGGTATATGAAACGCGAACACTAACGAAACCTTTTGTTAGTGATGGAACAAGTAAGGTTGCATGTGTCATTGAACAAAGTTATGAATTGAGTTAATGTTCTTCAGATGATTCCGTCATCTGATTACGGTGAGATTTTCAATAACGAGCAAAATTTTGATGACTGTTGAATATATTCTACCGTTGTACTTTATATATCACTTGTAAATAACAATTGCTTAGTTGAATACATAGCTGTGAATCAAAGTGGATGTGCCATACAATAGGTTTATATTGGCCGCATAAAATGAAACTAAAATTATATTTCTCTTAATATAATAAGGATTTTAGGAAATGATTGATATTGGAATATTCATGAATGAAGCATTCATCATTGACCACGTTGGAGTGAATTGTTTCATGAGATGCTTTTAAGTTTATTAATTGTTGAGCCACATGAGTATTACATATAATTATGTTATGATGCTTATTACTGTCAAAGCAGTATTACTAATTGGCTCTTCATCCCTCATTTAGTGTATTATAAACCAACCACCGTAATCTAAGTGCTAGGATTAACTTCGATCAGGAGTATATTTGGCTGTGTGTTGAGAGTGAACTAGCGTTTGTGCGAGACTACTTAGGGCAACAAGAATTAGCTTGCCACCTTGAACATTGTTCCCCGTGTAATTACTCGAGTGACAAACCACGTTATTTTTC